TAGGTTTATGAGAGTACATAGCATTGACGTTTTTCACATTTTTGCTAAAGCCATTAACACGCATAGTTTCGGGCAGGTCCTTAATCTAACAGATAATTTTAAGTAGGTAATTAACAGCAAAATTGAGAAATGTTAACAGCTACATTGTAAGAAAATTTGACGAAGATTAGTAGGGACATTATAGTCAAATTTGAGGATTTTTCTTGAGGATTTTAAATTCGAGGATTTTAATTTGAGGAACAGGTACATTGTAGCATAATTTGAGGATTATTTTGGGGGTATAATGTAGTAAACTATGTGTTCATTATAACAACCATGATATAAGATGATAGCAGTGATTACAATGATGAGGTTGAATGGCTTAGGCACATATTATATTTTTATCGTATTTATTTATAAACAAGAAGTGCAGTGGGGTTTGTGAGAGCACATAACATTGGAGTTCTTACAGTCCTGCAAAGCCACAGCGTTTGGGCAGACGCTGATGAGGAAGATGAACCACAAATATGTTAGCAAGGTTTATTTTAGCATAATAATGGTGGCGAAACTGAACGAACAAGACGAACAGTTTGTAGAAACCAACTTTTCTAATCCACATTAGCCTAATAAAGAGAGCAGCCTATGACATCACTGCTAACGTTCAGCTTATAACAAGTTAAAGAGATACAAGGACTGAGCTGTGAAGAGAGAGACTGTGGATCACTGGAGAAGGAACATGGTAGACATGATCACGACATATAAGATTCGAATTGAGCAAATATATAGAGACAATGTTTAAGGCGAGGAATAGAAGAGATCGAGAGGTTTTATATATATATATATATATATATATATATATATATATATATATATATATATATATATATATATATATATATATGGAAAAATGAGACACAATTGAGCCAGGGATTTTATATATATCTTCTTCAACGTAAGAGTGAATAAATGGAATAGATGATATGGACTTGATGATGGTAATTGGACAATGTTAAATGTGGATATGGCTGTACAAGTATATTAATCTATTGACACTCATCTGCAAGCATATCTGTGTACACGTACATGAGTGAGCACACACGCACGCACACGCACTCACACACACTCAAATGCCACCACATTTTAACTACACATACAAACACATTCACCCCCCTCAAACACCTTAACCCCCCTCCCTCACACACACTTTCACTCCCCCCAACACACACACACACACACACACACCTTCACCCCCACACACACCCTCACCCCCCAACACACACACACACACACACACACCTCCACCACCCCCACCACAGAGGGCTCCCCCACTCATCGTGCCATTCCCCACATCTGTCCACACCAACTATTCTCGACTCTATCCACTTAATCCATCTAGTTAATTTCTGCCCAACCAATGGCCAACTAAATAACGCTAAGACTTATAAGACAAGTCTTGGGGCCTGTTTACCTAGTCTTGTTGTGCTGGGGTGTGGTGATGGTGGTGGTGACGGTGGTGGTGACGGTGTGGGGGTGATGGTGGTGGTGTGGTGATGGTGGTGGTGTGGTGATGGTGGTGGTGACGGTGTGGTGGTGGTGGTGACGGTGTGGTGACGGTGTGGTGGTGATGGTGGTGACGGTGTGGTGGTGATGGTGATGGTGGTGGTGACGGTGGTGGTGACGGTGTGGTGACGGTGGTGGTGACGGTGTGGTGATGATGGTGGGTACGGTGGTGGTGACGGTGTGGTGATGGTGGTGGTGACGGTGGTGGTGACGGTGTGATGGTGGTGGTGTGGTGACGGTGGTGGTGGTGACGGTGTGGTGGTGACGGTGTGGTGGTGATGGTGGTGGTGACGGTGTGGTGGTGACGGTGTGGTGGTGATGGTGGTGATGGTGTGGTGGTGATGGTGATGGTGGTGGTGACGGTGGTGGTGACGGTGTGGTGACGGTGTGATGGTGGTGGTTACGGTGGTGGTGACGGTGTGGTGACGGTGTGATGGTGGTGGTGTGGTGACGGTGGTGGTGACGGTGAGGTGATGGTGTGGTGACGGTGTGGTGACGGTGGTGGTGACGGTGTGATGGTGGTGGTGTGGTGATGGTGTGGTGACGGTGTGGTGACGGTGTGATGGTGGTGGTGATGGTGTGGTGGTGACGGTGTGATGGTGGTGGTGACGGTGTGGTGGTGACGGTCTGGTGGTGGTGGTGACGGTGTGGTGGTGACGGTGTGGTGGTGGTGGTGACGGTGTGGTGGTGGTGGTGACGGTGTGGTGACGGTGTGATGGTGGTGGTGATGGTGTGGTGGTGACGGTGTGATGGTGGTGGTGACGGTGTGGTGGTGACGGTGTGGTGGTGGTGGTGACGGTGTGGTGGTGGTGGTGACGGTGTGGTGACGGTGTGATGGTGGTGGTGATGGTGTGGTGGTGTCGGTGTGTTGGTGGTGGTGACGGTGTGGTGGTGGTGGTGACGGTGTGGTGGTGACGGTGTGGTGGTGGTGGTGACGGTGTGGTGGTGGTGGTGACGGTGTGGTGGTGACGGTGTGGTGGTGGTGGTGACGGTGTGGTGGTGGTGGTGACGGTGTGGTGGTGGTGGTGACGGTGTGGTGGTGGTGGTGACGGTGTGGTGGTGGTGGTGACGGTGTGGTGGTGACGATGTGGTGGTGGTGGTGACGGTGTGGTGATGGTGGTGGTGACGGTGTGGTGGTGGTGGTGACGGTGAGGTGGTGACGGTGTGTGGTGGTGGTGGTGGTGGTGGTGACGGTGTGGTGGTGGTGGTGACGGTGGTGGTGGTGGTGACGGTGGTGGTGGTGGTGACGGTTGTGGTGGTGGTGACGGTTGTGGTGGTGACGGTGTGGTGGTGGTTGTGGTAGTGACGGTGTGGTGGTGATTGTGTGGTGGTGACGGTGGTGGTGGTGGTGACGGTGTGGTGGTGACGGTGGTAACGGTGGTGGTGGTGACAGTGTTGTGGTGACGGTGTGGTGGTGACGGTGGTGGTGACGGTGTGGTGGTGACGGTGTGGTGGTGACGGTGTGGTGGTGACGGTGTGGTGGTGACGGTGTAGTGGTGACTGTGTGATGGTGACGGTGTGATGGTGACGGTGGTGGTGGTGAATGTGGTGGTACCGTGGTGGTGGTGATGGTGGTACCGTGGTGGTGGTGACGGTGTGGTGGTGACGGTGGTGATAGTGTGGTGGTGACGGTGGTGATAGTGTGGTGGTGGTGGTGACGGAGTAGTGGTGATGATAGTGACGGCCAAGTGATGAAAGTGTACAGTGTTAGGTACGCGTTTAACCAAAGCGTTTAATTTGAATTAAAACGAGTTTAACCTGCGTCTAATCATTTGTCGTTCCATTCCTTCAAGATTTCCTGAATAGTGACCACTGCCTGCTTGCCAGCTCTATAAGAAGCCTCGGCCCGGACTTGGTGGTGGCGAGACTGAACGCGGCCGCCATTACTACCTCTACCAGTGCTGGACTTTGCGCGCCACCGCATTTATTTCCCTCCCAAGCCTATTTACCTTTCCTGATTTCCTCTATTCACTTGCCCTCTTTGCTCTCAAGCTGCCCTCGTCCACTTTGTCTAGTCCCCTCGGCTAAGTTCCCCTCTGGTAGCTAGGTTAGTCTTTCAAACGTATATGTCCCCTCTTAATTCGGGGTCTTAGGCTTTTTTGCAAGCTTTCTGATTTTTATATATTTGTATTGGCGTTATTCAATTCGAATTCCATGCCACTGTTTCGAATTATTGAATTTGTGTAAATGAGGCAGAGTATATATATATATATATATATATATATATATATATATATATATATATATATATATATATATATATATATATATATATATATATATATATATATATATATATATATATATATATATATATATATTTTTTTTGTAGGTTATCTTGTTTCTAATTTTGGAACGAAGTTTTTGTGTGCACCGATGTCTTATATGGTGATGATGATGTCTTGTGTGTGTGGTGATAATAGTGGTGGTGGTTATCTTGAGGTTATCTTGAGGTGATTTCGGGGCTTTTAGTGTCCCCGCGGCCCGGTCCTCGACAAGGCCTCCACCCCCCAGGAAGCAGCCCGTGACAGCTGACTAACACCCAGGTACCTATTTTACAGCTAGGTAACAGGGGCAAAGGGTGACAGAAACTCTGCCCATTGTTTCTCGCCGGCACCTGGGATCGAACCCAGGACCACAGGATCACAAGTCCAGTGTGCTGTCCGCTCGGCCGACCGGCTCCCTAGGGGTGGTGGTGGTAGCAATGACGATGTCAAGCCATCCTTCTGTTTAGATCATACTTGTTGTAACTATGTGCCCCACAGTACAAAAATTGACGTACTAAACAACGAAATAGTAGAACTTTTGTTCAAGATAGTAGAACTTTTGTATTCACTTTATAGTTGGAAAAATTCAAGATAAAAACAAACTTAAATATTCCTAGGCTTAATACAACACACATATGTACTATATTAGGCCTCAGATAAGTGTGTATTAGACCTAAGAAGATTAACTTAGGTTAATTTGTCTTTGCAACATAAGTGGAAAATCGTTTCCCTGCTTGTCCAAATTCAATAGTACCGATTTCTACTTTTGTAATTGCGTTGTGCGGAACCCGCTGCTACGGGATAATGGGTAGGAATTAACAAATCTTTAGCAAATACTGTTGTTGGGATGAGAGAAGCAGCATCAGTGCTTGTGGTGGGGGTGAGGGGAGGAGACTGAGGTCGGAGCCACAATAGACGGGTAATTACACTTTAATAGAATAATAAGGGGTAGTCAGCCCTCAGACGGTGGACGGGTGGTGCCCTCTGCCACAGCCTTGCTCGCCCTCCATGCTCTACCACAGGGCACAGCTCCCTACCTGCCCCTGTGCCGGAGCTGTGCCCAGTGCCATAAGGGCTGAGGCACCGTAGAAAAGATGGCAATGATGACGGAATGTTGAACACGGGGCGATGGTAGGGGGGGGGGAGAGGGGGGGTCTGTGGACGGTGGGTGGCATGCAAGTGTGGCTGACGTCACTATGAGGGCTCAGCTTGGGCGCTGATTGGTCCACGGTGCACCAGCGTGTCCCCTCTAACTGGTACATAAAGACCCTTTACCCAGAAAGCAGAGTTCTCATTGGTGAATAGGGCGTGGCACGGCGCGAGTGCCCCACAATGCGTCCCGCGCCGCTATTGGACGTTGGCTATACCCAAGATGGCAGCAGTGCCAGTTCCAGCCTCAGGATTGGCCGGCAGGGAGGTGGGCGGAGCGAGCGCAGGCTAACAAGGATAATTGCCGTATATAAAGAAAAGTTGGTGGTTAGATTTGATCAAGTCGATCTGAGCGCTTTGCCTTCCTGGCTAAATTAGTGGAAGCCGGAGACCAATTGAGGCTAGTTAGTGCTGGCGTGGACGGAATTGAGTCGGCGCGGGGAAAGCAGCGCTGGCTGATTACTGTCCCATTGTTCTCGTTACCCGCCATTTCGGGGATTGTGAGGCGGGGGGCTGTCAATTGAGACCATTGGTGGTCGTTGTTGCCGTGGCCGGCCTAAGCGGCCTCCGTCCTACCTTAACTCTCGACACCCGCTGTAACTCAGCCTACATCACACACCCCTACGGCCCGCCCGCCCGCCAACTGCCTACTAATTACCGCCACTTAACCCACTCCCCCTCCCCCCCCCCTCCCCTTCCCCAAGTGTACGGTGGTTCGCGGGAAGGACGCAGATTGGCCGGCCAGATAATTAGCTCATTACGGAGGTCATCCCTACAGCATCCTCGGACATCATGAACGGTCAGCCCAACTCAACTAGTCCAGCCAGTGTTGGAGCAAATGTTGGAGTGAGCGGTGGAGTGGGGAAGAGTGTTGGGGGCGGCGGGTGTGGTGGTGGTGGTGGGGGCTCGGGTGGGGGTGTTGGGGGTGGCGTCGGAGCCTCAGCGGGGTCTGGCACCTTCCACAGCATCCAGGTCATGTTGGGTCTCCCTGCTGACTTCATGGTGGCTCCTTCCCTCGCCCCTGCCCACAGGGACTACCAGGAGGGCCTCGCTCAGCCCACGGCCCACAACGCGCCCGTGCCCCACACCCACGCCAACACGCACCCCAACACGCCCACGCCCCCACAGCAATCGCATTACAGCGCGCAAGCACAGCACGCCCTCACCAATCTCAGTGCGCAGAACGCGCACACGCACGTGCAAAATACGCACACTCACACGCCCACGCACGCGCAAAACGCCCACACACACGTGCAGAGCAACCACACCCAGGCACAGCCAACCCACGCCCATGCCCACTCCCACGCCGGAGGATCCCTGGAGCCGCCCCTACCTGGCCCAGTGGTGGGAGAGAAAAGGAAGTTGGATGATGGGGGACCGTCCTATCCGGGACAGCCTACCTCCTCTCCGACTAGCCAGACCCAGCAACCTCCCAGCTCCACAGGTGAGTCCTAGCTACCGAAAACGTCCTCCTAGCCAGTTCTCGCCTTCTCGATAATCCTAGTCAGGTTCACTAGCCTACCAGCTCCATATATATTATACGTTAAGGTCACTCCTGGTTAATTATGTCTTCCTCTCATCCGGCCTAGCCAATCCCAGCAATCACGAGCGTGTCGTGGAATGTTTTTTTGTGTAGTCCTAGCTATTCTGGGCTTCTCCTAGCACTCTCAGCTTCATCCAACAAGCCTCTAGTCCCTTCTCACATAGCCTAGGCCTATCGTACAGGTTCCCACCGGTTCGTAGGTATATGTGAACAAACCTGAAATATCCCTAGAGAGTTGCTCTTCCTCTACCACCTTATACCCTAGGTCTACTGGCTTTCCAACTCAAGCCATCATGGAAAATTTGATTTTTTGCGATCACTGGTGGCGCAGGTAGTTAATTGTGTGAATCATACCCATCCTGCGAGCAATATTCATTGTACACAGCCTATATGTTCATCCTGTAAGCAGTAGTTTATTGCACACCCCCCATACTCATCTTGTCGTAAGAGCGAATATGTTAAAATCCTAATATCCTCGAGTTATTGACTCCTGTGACCCCGTTCTAGTGACATCTTGACCTCCTCGCGGGTAAAGTTAAGACACTTCATAGTTTTAACATCCTCTTAGTCATTCCAGATAATAACCCCCACAGATAATGTCACAAGGATTCCAACACCGTTCTAGTATACTTACAGCATCACCTGCTCTCTCAAGCTGAAACAAAAGTTCTTTTAACGTCCAATTTTCTTTATCGGCACAATATTTTAAGCGGTGCACTGCACTAGGCTAGGTCTGGGGTCAAGGGAGGGGGGGGGAGTGGCTGTATGCGTGTATGCGCACGCATACACACCACGACGGCTCACTACACTGTGTATGGCATCATCATTTATAAACTGCCCTTTTTTTTTAGGCCGTCCCATGGGCCTATCTATCTAATAGACAGTTATGAAAAGTACCAAAACCATCAACTTTTGGCATATCTATGTACAACATTTATAGAATATTTAATTAAGCACTTCAGAACACTATATACTTAACTACAATTTTATCACCGTTTAGTTTTCGTTCAAAAAATATTAAATTTTTTCATGAATACTTCACATTAGTTTTTTACGGAATCGGCCAATTCGTTAAAACATGAGACCTATTAGTCAAAATTAAAGCACTGAAATATTATTTTTTTTCATTGAAATCCTCAGATTAGGCAAAATTGTAATTAATTTTGTCAATAAAGATGTTAATAATATTAAAACTGAAATATTGACGCTTTCTATGCATCAGTCTCGATATGTCAGACTGGTCTGCTTGGATGCATATCTTTCTAATTAGGCAAAACAGTTGTGTACTTCACAGTGACTAATCTAGAGAACGGACTGTGTGATTACACGCACTAGGTCCACAACAGCAAATGTGGCAAGGCTATCTGGCTTCGTGCGGATTATACAGTATTTCATAGGACCACCATCTTATGGGCTATTCATGCCCGTGCCACCTCTTGGTGGCTTAATCTTCATCAATCAATCGTGAGACCAAGCAAGGAGTCTGGGTGGCATGCAAGTGTGGCTGACGTCACTATGAGGGCTCAGCTTGGGCGCTGATTGGTCCCAAGAGTGCTCAAAGCTCTAGGGTATTAGGCTATATGTGAGGCTACAGCCCTTCATTTGCCACAAAATACAAAGTACTAACCAGAAACGCACGAACCCAAGCAACGGGAGTCAGAAATATGACGCACAAGCAGTGCGCGCAATTGTTATTTTCCTTATTATTGGATTGAGACCTGTCGTGTTTGGACTTTAATGAGAGCCCATCACATGAACGATATTCCGATGCGAGAGAGGCCACCGTAGGTCCGGTCAATATGGAGATATCGTTGCTATTCTAGAACGTAATAGTCGCATTAAAATGCTAATACCTATACAACAGTATATGGTCCTATTTTTTCCCATTCCACATCTACATTATGAAGCTAGCAACATATACCATAAGACCTATGATCTCTAAGCCTTGATGAGGCGCTTGTGAGGCCAGCATTTGAATATATATTTGTATTTATTTTCTACTGACCAAGCATTCTGAAGATGATAATTACGCCTCTGCTGTAATGGTTATTATAAAGACAGCTTATTGGTAACAATACTAAGCTTGGTTTGAATAAACTGTTTTTAATTAATGATGAACTTAGATATACACAGTAATGTGCTGCTAATGAAGGTTTACAGAGTGTAAATCAATAATTCTCTATGAGTTCATCTAATATCGTCGTCTCACAGAATGGTTAGTCATACATGGAATGAGAGAACATGAAATGCGAGGCTATTAGCTTACACTAGCAAACTCTGGGTAAATCACAAGAATATTTTCAAATATTCGTGAATGTATGTTGTTACAGATCTCAAAGTACCTTACACCATTTGGTCTGAAGCTATTGGTAACAGAGCAATCACAGATATGGTGTTAAGAGAGCGTGTCCTAGCTCTTGTTCACATATTTTAGTACTGAGGTGTTCACTACTGGAGGATCCATTACCTGCAGCCACCTGCCATGGATATCAACCCAACTTAATTCTGGCAATTGCAATGTCACACTGTCCAGTGGATGCTCTGTGTTGTCCGTGCATATGGCCCTCGGTTTTAAACATATCATAACTCTTTATACTCGTGCTTTCTGCCCTTCGAGTGTCATTCTGCCAGCCGTAATTTCCTGGAACATTGCTGTTTTTTACAGCAGAGAGATTGGAATGCTTAGATCCAAGTCAATTTCAGGTTTATCACATCCAGCTTTAGCTGCCTTGTCCGTGTCATCTTGCTGGGCAACACCTATGTCAGATGGTATCCATACAAATGAGACTGAAACTCTTGCTCTGTGTATTAATGACGTTTACAGTGTATGTTAGAACACAACTGCTGTGGGTCGCATCCTGGGGATGGTCAGTCGCTGGCCCAGCGAAATCTCAAGATTCCATCAAATTACTCCTGTAATGATTTTAGGTTAAGCCGCATATTTTTGAATATGAAACAGCAATACAGCATTGATAAAGAACATCCATACTTTACCCTAATCTAGTATAGTCTTTGTATAACCAAACGTTGCTTACCCTATCCTAATCTAACTTGTTCGAGATTGGGGAAAACTTTTCTGGACGTGGAGAGGCAAGAGGGACGACTTGTCCTGAAAGCCTTGATATATTACGTTGGGATTTAGGCTTAGAGCCAAGTTCTGGAACCAGATTCAGGAGCCAGGTTATGGAGCCAGGTTCTGGGGCCAGGTTCTGGAGCCAGGTTATGGAGCCAGGTTCTGGGGCCAGGTTCTGGGGCCAGGTTCTGGGGCCAGGTTCTGGGGCCAGGTTCTGGGGCCAGGTTCTGGAGCCAGGTTATGGAGCCAGGTTCTGGGGCCAGGTTCTGGGGCCAGGTTCTGGGGCCAGGTTCTGGAGCCAGGTTATGGAGCCAGGTTATGGAGCCAGGTTCTGGGGCCAGGTTATGGAGCCAGGTTATGGAGCCAGGTTCTGGGGCCAGGTTCTGGAGCCAGTTAGGTTATTCAGTGCCGAGTGTGTGCATTATTAATTGTTGGGTTTTGTTTTCAAGTTGTTTACGTGTTTCCTCACTGGTATGACCCAGGAAAAACCTCGAGCTGTCAAACTTTTTTCTCCTTATAATATTGTCTATGATTCTTTTCCTGCCATGTAGCCTGGTAAGCATAGCTCTTTATTTGTTCTTAACTCTAGTTTCATCTTCCAGGAGAACCGTCAACTAAGAAGACCGACTCTAAATCTAAGAAATCTTCAGATACTCCTGGAGTGAAGAAAAAGAAAACGAGGTATGGAGCAAGCCATCAAAGCTTTCAAATCTCCAATAAGTTCTCGATAAAGCCTCCTCTGTATTATTAAATTGCTGGACCTCTATATTCATCAAGACTATATACTCTTCAACTCCCATCACCCCTCACCGCTTCCTCCATCACCATCATCATTCAACTACTCAATGCCTTGCTCTTGCACGCCCATACATTTGTTTACAATAATTAAATTAACCTAGTCAGGGATCTCTAATTCAATTATCTGATTTTAACCATCACCTCCACTTGCCTTATTTCCTTCGGCCGGACATTAAAACTTTCCATCTAAATGTTTATATGTTTGCACGAAGATAAATAATAATTACACAAGAGGTAGATGCAGAATACAATTGGAACAGTGCTTGAATGGGGGGGGGGGGGGGGAGGTAGAAATAGCCTAAGCTACTCTATCCCTTTGAGATGTATTTCTTTCTTATCTCAATAAACATACTTGAACTTGAAGTGCTTGAACGTTAACAGGTGGCTTACCTGCAAGCCGCCAGGCAGTGTTCAAAATTCAAATTCAAAATTCAAAAGTGTGTTGTGTCTCGGTAGATGGGGTCTGCTGGAAGGGTTCTTTTTCGTCTGTTGATGTCTGTAAGTGTGGCTGTGGTGGTGAGTGTCACTGTAAGTGTGGCTGTGGTGATGGCTGCTCCATGTCCACTTCACTGTCGAAGAGAATACAACGCTGCACTTTCTCAAAACATTGGTCCAGTGCTCGTAAATCCAACAGCTGGGACCTTTCTCTTTCTTTATGAATCAAGAAACACTTCACACGTAACTCACGACGGCTGAACTAACGACTAATTACATTTGAATTTTTATCGAACGGTTTCGCATACCGTTTCATACGCTCGAAGCACCATTAGGGGCTAGTGGATTCACGATATATCAGCCCGTCCTCCAAACAAAGATCCAAAAGTGATTCCATGCACCCGCCAAACCCCCTGTTTATGAATGAAAAGCGGTTTACACACGACTCACAACTGCTGATGTTCGAACATATCCGGAACAAGTGTTTCACTGACGAATTTTGTTCGAATCACAACGCTATAAATGCTTCACCCACGTACTACAAATACAAATAATCGCCAACAGAACCTAAACACCTAACCTAACCTAACCTATGCCTATATATACACAATATACTAATATATTATAATATTAATTTATATTTAAGAAAATTCCTGTTTTGAATGAACAGCATGTAAAAATTGTTGAATGCGTGTGTGGGGTCGACCGCTGGATGGAATGGACTTGAGTCGAGGACGGGTTGTTCGAATCACAACGCTATAAATGCTTCACCCACATACTACAAATACAAATAATCGCCAACAGAACCTAAACACCTAACCTAATCTAACCTATGTCTATATATGCACAATATGCTAATATATTATAATATTAATTTATACTTGAGAAAATTCCCGTTTTGAATGAACAGCAAGTTAAAATTTATGAATGCGTCTGTGGGGGCGACCTCTGGATGTAATGGACTTGAGTCGAGGACGGGTTGGATGATGTATTGTAAATGCTTCACCCACGTACTTCAAATACAAATAATCGCCAACAGAACCTAAACACCTGACCTAACCTAGCCAGTACCTAAATATGCAGAATATGCTAATATATAATAATATTAATTTATATTTGAGAAATTTCCAATTTTGAATGAACAGCATGTTAAAATTCATGAATAAGTCTTTGGGGTCGAACGCTGGATGGAATGGACTTGATCTGAGGACGGGTTTCATGAAATGAATCAAATGTTTGTTTAGAAAGAAACAGCCCGTCCTCCAAACAAAGATCCAAAAGTGATTCTATTCACCCGCCAAACCCCCTGTTTATGAATGAAAAACTGTTTACACACGACTCACAATTGATCTCGTTCGAACACTTCCGGAACAAGTGCTTCACTGACGAATTTTGTTCGAACCACAACGCTGTAAATGCTTCACCCACGTACTACAAATACAAATAATCGCCAACAGAACCTAAACACCTAACCTATGCACAATATACTAATATATTATAATATTAATTTATATTTAAGAAAATTCCTGTTTTGAATGAACAGCATGTAAAAATTGTTGAATGCGTGTGTGGGGTCGACCGCTGGATGGAATGGACCTGAGTCGAGGACGGGTTGGCTTTGGGGGTTAAGTTGAAGATTTCTTGAAAAAAATGCCTATATGAGATAAGTTATTTTTCAATATTACGTAATTTAACAACAGAGAATACGACTATATAATTTTAAACAAAGTCTAATTGTGTTGCATACATATTGCCATCAGTATAAAATACATATACAGAAATAAAAAAAAAAATCAAAGTATGTCTTTATTATAAAACATTAGACTTTTATATCCATTAATTTTCATAGTAGGCCTATTTACGTACATACAAAAATCAGCCAAACATGTATGTTTTCTTTACACTGTGCCCTACAGGACGACGTTCACAGCATACCAGCTGGAAGAGTTGGAGCGAGCCTTCGAACGCGCGCCATACCCCGATGTCTTCGCCAGAGAGGAACTGGCGGTAAAATTGAACCTTTCTGAATCCCGCGTTCAGGTCTGGTTTCAGAACCGTCGAGCTAAGTGGAGGAAGAGAGAACCACCCAGGAAGAATTATATACCACCTGGTAATTTTACGTTTTACAGTCACGTTTCTAATATTGAATCTATGTGTTCTAATATATATAATCGATGTGTAGATAAATATAGACATTTGTTCTTCAGAAAGTAGTTGTTTTAAATGTCGTTGCTTGTTTTACAGTCAAACTTCTATCATGGGACCCGTGTATTCTCAATTTAATATATTTCTGAACAACGCTTCTTCGACTGCATCTGTGGCCATTTTTTTTTCTAAGGAGTTTACCATTCCATTGAAAGTAGTTTTTATTCGAAGATATATTGACGTGAGAGAGGAATATGTAAAATGTTCGTATGAGGCTTCGGGGAAATGTTCCCTGAATGTTTTTAGGGGCATGATGAACTTACTTTCAGGGTTTTGTGGTTACTGCAGGAATGACTCTTCTACTTCCTTATGTGGATTTTGTTGCATTTGGAGAATTACTTTTGTGTTTTCTAAGGGTTTATTTATTTTGTAGGTAGCTGGTTTGGGCTCATCTGATTTCTTTAAAATTGATTTTAGTGGAAAGTTTTCCCAATATATTTTATGTTTCCTGTTTTGCTAAGTCCCTTTGATCACATTTATTGGGCATCATTAGGTATTTCTTCTTTTATTAAGGCTTCTACTTCTTCCCTTGTTCGTTTGTTCTTGTGTCCTCTGTTGAGGTTTCTCTTCCAAGCCTCGCCTCTTTGTTTTCTTCAACAATGCGTGTTCAACTTGCTGTTAATAAGTACTCGCAAGAGTGCTGCTTTCCTGATATTTTTCTAAGCTGTAACTATTATTCACATATTCTTTTGTTCTATGTTCGACACTATTATCCTTCCTAAACAATATTCTAGTTTTCTCTAATTCTTGCTTTCATCGTCTCTTCCTTTATCTCTGTCAGCCTGTAAATTATCATTGCATTGTTGCATGCAATTTATATTTTCTTTCGTTCCATTAATTGTTGGGTCCTGGCCATTTATAAAACAAGGGTTCATGTATATATGTTAACCTTGTTTGATTTCACTGCCTCGGCAGGAGGTATGCCAACCGGTTTCTACTATTTAATTGGGATGGGTTTCTATCATTCTTATTGCCAATTTACCAATTGGTAAAGCTTTCTCGAGCAACGCTGAATCGACGTCGTTTGCCCAACATGTGCCCATTAGGTGCCTGCTGGGTTCCAGTTAGGTTAAATAAAGCACAAAGTGTTGACCACGATGAAGAGAAACTATGTTCACAGTATATTAGGTTGATGCCGGTTCGTCTACAAGGGCTTTGTTAACTACATTGCTAATTTATGCAACTACATCAGCTTTTTTTTTTATTTCTCTAGAATTATTATTCTGTACTTGTATTACTTTGTTTAGCACTCTTCTCTATTCCTCTGTTTCTCTCAGTATTTTCTATTCTTTGTCTTCATTCACATTCCTCGTTAGTTTCCTTCCTCTCTGTCTTGTACTTTATGCTTCATTCCTTCCATCTGTGCTAACCGATAAACTCTTCCTTCACTTCTGTACCTGGACCTCCTAGCGTAAAATGTTTGTGTGTGTGTGTGTGTGTGTGTGTGTGTGTGTGTGTGTGTGTGTGTGTGTGTGTGTACTCACCTAATTGTGCTTGCGGGGGTTGAGCTTTGGCTCTTTGGTCCCGCCTCTCAACTGTCAATCAACTGGTGTACAGATTCCTGAGCCTACTGGGCTCTATCATACCTACATTTGAAACTGTGTATGGAGTCAGCCTCCACCACATCACTTCCTAGTGAATGTGTGTGTGTGTGTGTGTGTGTGTGTGTGTGTGTGTGTGTGTGTGTGTGTGTGTGTGTGTGTGCTTAAGCTGCCAGTTTATTGATCCCTCCAAGCTATAGTGTCTGATCTCTCATTCCTGACTCGTTCCACACTTTCTTACATCTTCTGTAGATTCGTATTCTTTTCCGAGTTTTCTTAGTCTCTTTTTTTCCACCTTTATCTCCCAGTCCTCTTCTCGCTGTTTTATCTAATTCTTCCTCACACGTTAGAATTATATTGATGGTGTTGATAATGATAATAACATTATATAAGGTTATTGGGATGGTGGCGGTGTTAAAACAATAAATGAATCGACAAAATTTACAACACTTCCATGAAGACATTTGGGCCGTAAACAAACAAGAAGATATCCAGTTTAAGGACTGAGTTGCCGTGATGGTGATGATGGTGACACCAGTCAGGTGGGTGGGAGAGTGGGCACTCAATTGCCATTTACCGAGGAGAGATGGTGGGGGGATTCAAGCATAAACTCTCCCATTATCACGGGAGGTGGTGATGCCCAGTGATGTAATGGCCACAAATGCTTATTTCCGGTTGTTTAAATTATCATAACTCATTTTTTTTTTTACAGGTGGCATGGGTGGCGGCCTGGGGGGCACCTTCAACTCCCTCAGCACCCTATCCCCCTTCAACTCTGGAGAAGCTTGGAGCTACTCTTCCTCCTACGACCCCACTCATCTCAACCTCCTCGGCCCCGCCTCCTACCCATTTTCAGCCAACCACAATCCGGGATATAGCTACCCTATGCTCTCTCAGCCGATGGGAATCAACGACTCCCTTTTTACGAACCCTATCGGCCAGATGCGGGCGGGAGACTTCCAACCGTCGACAGGGATGCGGGATTTCGGGAACAGCCCTCTCAAGACTTACGATTACCTACAAGAGGTGAAGACGGAGGATTTTCTCCACGAGAAGAGGGACGCCAACATGAACAGCGTCCGCCACCAGCCGGCCCCAAAGGAAAACAAGGATTCTTCCTACATCACGCTGCCTTCTTTTTTAAGCTAAATCAGGAGCTTCGAGCGATGAAGAGGGCGCGCCTTCAGGAGGACGCCCAGGCCTACGAAGCTCAGATATCCCAGGCCTATCCCCCCATCGTGGCTCCACCATCCCAGTCCATTAACCAAACACCAGTCATGGCTGCGTCTGTAGCATCTGGACAGTCTATTGTCAGCCAGTCAGCAGGTAACCCCGCAGTGCCGCCGCCACCTATGGTCAGTCAGTCAGCAGTGATGCCCCCTACAGGCTCCGCCCGTCCTATCCTCTGCTGTGACGACGCCAGTTACGATGTCGTTGGCAACCACACCTATGATCAGCCCAGCAGCTCTGCCAACAAGTACAACAATCCACCGACCCTCAAGATACAGCACCATCACCACCACACCCACCACCCTCCACCACCTCCCCTGGATGACCCGACACCACCACCCCCACCGCCACCACCTGCTCATAAGTACGAACTGCCACCCCCTCACCATCAAGAATATGACGTACCGGCACCCACCGCCACGGTTGCCCACGAGTACGACCCGCTGCCCCCACAGGTGCCCGTGGCGGGCGACGAGGAGCCGCCCCTGGTGTACCCAAGCATGGGTGCAGGACCTCTCGCGGACCCCAATTCAATGACTGATCCTTCCCTCACCTCTGGCTACTTCCCTCACTACCCATTGGACCCTCAACCTAACCTCGACACTCACGACCCGCTCGATTACAGCGTTCTGGAAGCTCTGTTTGACGGCTCACCTTACCCACCCACTGCCGATGTTGGCACACCTGATACCTACCATGACTACCACCACTACTAGCCCAGTGTTGGCACACCTGGTACCTACCATGACTACCACCACTACTAGTCCAGTGTTGGCACACCTGGTACCTACCATGACTACCACCACTACTAGCCCAGTGTTGGCACACCTGGTACCTACCATGACTACCACCACTACTAGCCCAGTGTTGGCACACCTGGTACCTACCATGACTACCACCACTACTAGCCCAGTGTTGGCACACCTGGTACCTACCATGACTACCACCACTACTAGCCCAGTGTTGGCACACCTGGTACCTACCATGACTACCACCACTACTAGCCCAGTGTTGGCACACCTGGTACCTACCATGACTACCACCACTACTACTAGCAGTGGCACCCGTAAACTCCTAACATAAGAGCTGCAACACTAGGCGTGCTCTATTAGCATAACTAGCCCGAGCCTATTCCTTTCTTCAATTGATGCTGGCGCCCTCTAACTTTTGCCACAATACCACGACAAAATACTTGCACCTTGTTATAATCGGAAGGCATATTTTCAACATCAGAGTAATGATTTTCATCATTACCAGTAAAGTTCACTAAGACCTGTGCTGGTAACATTAGTACGTCCGGCGTTCACCAATACAGTAGGGGGGGTAGAAATAGCCTAAACTACTCTATCCCTTTGAGATGTATTTCTTTCTTGTCTCAATAAACATACTCAATTGAACCAGTACAGTTCTGCTAAACAATTCGCGTTACCAGAACTACCATCATTGCCAACGTCAGGGCTTCCAATAATTACCACGTTACCAAGATGATGCATAAATACTATGTATGTCACTTGTGATGTATAATAAACTTTATATGGTTTAGAATTAAGTGTATGATTCTGAATGACCGATTGCGTATACACGAGCATATATATTTTTCCATAGTTTTGTACATTTGTAAGTCAAATCTTGGAGTGCGTGAATTTCGTAACGTATTAAATGTTATTGAGTATATTTGTCTATACAACCTCCATATTCTCAGTCTAGTGAGAATATTAATGTTAGGTTTTATAAGTACATTTTATTGAGTAGTAGAAATGTCAAAGTGAAGTTTTAAATGTTTTAGTATTTGTAATGATCTCAAAAAGATCAGTAATGACAGTTTTTTGGGGTTCAGTGTATATTTCTTGCCACAAAATTGTTATACGTGTGTTGTGCATTGTTTTAAGTTATATCGTTCATGTCCTGCTTTTAATATTGGACTAAAAAAAAATATATTATGCCATTTTCTGTAATTCATGTGTTGTAGACGCTTTCATGCAGTGCCATATGTAAACAGTTTACTCGTTATAGTAACTGTTATTTGTGTTATTTACAAACTGTTCACCTGTATAAGTTATTGTAGTGCCAAATGTAAACTGTTTACCTATTCAACAATAACAGTTATTAAACATCCATAATTCAACTGTTTACTTGTTTAATAAAAGCAAATATTTAATAAACTAAGACAAAATCAATCTTTAAACAACCTTCGTATATATACATATAAGTGCAACAAAAGTATATATGATACAATACACACAGAAATCACAATAGCGTGATGTATCAAATGAACAAAGCCACAAGGACTGTGATGAGGGTTCGAACCTACGTCTGAGAGGATCCCAGATGCTGCCTTAATCGACTAGGCCACGACATGGTAAAAGAATTGCAACCAGGAGTTCCACTGGCCTCACACGGATCCTGCAGTCTCTCCGAGACACAAACCAGGGTTTTACACAGTAAAACCCTGGTTTTACTGTTGTATTTATATACGATACAATATTTTCTTGACTTTCATAACAAAATAGACAACAGAGGCAATGAATCTGATAAAAGTTGTGTTGGTGGAACATCTGCACTAAATTATTATCCTCACTCGCGGGGACACTAAAGCCCTGAAATCATCTCAAGATAAGAAGATAACCTCACTATCACCTAACTTTAACTAACAGGAACTAATAAAGCCGCAATAACAATAAAGACAATAGAGTAAATGAGCAAAGTGTAGGGTAGTGTAGTGTAAGACAATAGAGTACTTCTGGTCTGGGGTACCGGTGCTACTGGCAATGCCTCGGCAGTTTCTTACGAAATCAAGTTTTCATTTTGATTTCTATTTAATATTACATATCTTTTATTTGGTTTGTATACTGTATTTGGTCACATACGTAGACTCCGACAGATTTTCAAAATTCAAATTCAAATGTTTATTCAAGTAAAGTACGTGCATACAAGGTGTGATACAAATATTGATGAATTTATAGATATTACACGTGGGATTAACAGCTTAAACACGTTAATTTATTTGGATCTTTAAAATTATGGATAATCCTAACTATGGATTCCATAATAGAGGCAAACTGGATTGATGATGTAGTGTGATAAGTATAAGAGAACGTATTTACTTTCTCTGTGCATTACACTCCCCTTGAGGAACTCGATATTCATCCTCCAGAACTCCGGGTCGCATACCCACATACTGTACACGCAGTCCTCGCCTACTCTTTGTCCTGTCCTCAATCTAAACTTGACCTTATGTAGAACAGTGAGGAATTAGCAAGGTCAAAACATAACTGACATTGTTGTGATCGCCTATACCTCTGACCCGACCTGACTAAATCGTTGACCACCTAGCCCTTGTCAGTGCCAGTCTGAGGTGTGAATTTCTCAGCTAGACTGGCCATCTTGTACATTCTTCAGCTAGACTGGCCATCTTGTACATTCTTCAGCTAGACTGGTCATCTCTGCACCTAGATGTTCAAATGTTCTTCTGTTCTACCATTCTCTTGTGTCCTCCTTTCTTGTTACATACCAAGTAATCATTGTAACCAGGATCTTCTGTCATTTTTTCAAATAATACATGGCTTTCCAAAAATATGTATTATTATTATATAGGATTAATTATGACTTGCATACATTTGTTATTTCAACATGCATTAATAATGAGTGTGTAAATATTACATACATTAGCCTATACTGTATTTTGAAGGATAATTAAGAAAATCTATTGGGTGTAGGTTTTTTATTGATGACGGATTACATAAGCCAGGGGTTTTGTGCAGACTGCCTACACCCTGCGGCCAGCGCCATCCCAACCCTTCGTGTGTGTGCTATTTCACCAGCGCCGCCAAAAATGACCATCAAAAGTTCTTTCTCACTACTGTATTAATTTATCTTATTTTAAGTGTAAATTTATTGGTAATGCTTCCATGAACTATGTCATTTAAAAGTCATAACTTTATAATATTGATCAAGTAGTTTTATTGCTATTTCTAATACACTACTACACCTATACAAAATCTGATACGCATTTTGTTTTATTATTGCTACATATAAGATGACTTTTTTAACTTCAAAGTAAGGGTCTAAATTTAAGAGTCACCTCAAATTTATCAATAGTTCATTAATACAGTGTTCACATCAAAATTAGTACCCTCCTTTCTCCTTGTAAGTTGAATAATACTTATAATTCAGTCAAAATCAGATTATGTATTCCCTAACCCCCCATTTTATTAAATTTGGCGTCACTGATGCACGGTGGTTCCTTTACAAATGGCTGCATTACAAAAATCCTGGCAAATCTTGCTTTGTGAGGTATCAAAATAAAACTATCATGATTCATGTTTATGGTTAAGTCCTAACAAAACTTTATATGCTAACTAAAAGCTTATCTGTCACTTTCATAAAAGCACAAGCAAGAAGCATCGAACTGTCAAAAGAAACTTAATAAAGTTGCTGATGAATTTCTGTTAGGCAACTGCTGCCTGCTGCTCTATACAGGCTCTACATGATAAGCAAGTACAGGAACTAAATTTTGTTCTTTAGGGAGGGATGCGTGCCGCCTTTAAAACAAAAAAACCTGGTCCTTTAAGTCTATCATTCAAACAACAAAACAGCTGCTGTCATCTACAACGGAATGTTACAGATCCATTACCGACTCGTCACAGATTATCCATACTCATTACATATTTTACATCAACACTGAGAATTTCATATATGAGCTAACAATCTCAACAAACAGTGCAACAAGACTTTGACAGACACCTTTCAAAAACTATAAATTATGCACCTTCAGTGATAGAGTTAAATTTCTATCATAAAGCACTAGTTTCATAAAAAAAGTCACCATTTCATATCAAATGATGATCCGCATAATAAAACTGCAGTGCAATCTGTTTACACTACTTCACAAGTTTTGAAAGTTGTCTGCTAATGTGACTGTTGCCCCTGAATGCTGCAATTTAATGTGATGAGTGACTTTGAGCCTTGGATAGTACTTCCATAAGACGCATTTTGTGTTTTCATTATGAAAAATGTGCGATACGGAACTTCTAATCTAAGGTCGCAATCACGAACCTCTCCACATTTACACGTAGGATAACCTTTTGATTGTTATTATCTAAGAGATTGTAGATATCCTGGCAAATATATGCTGCCATAAGTACATGTCAGGATAGCATTACAATTGAGAAGCGACATAGGAAAGGTTTACGATGGGACTCATTGTACAGAGTGAATTTACAAAATATAGAGGATGTACTTTAGCACACTTCAGCTGCCACTTCATTTCACAAGGTGAGCTCTGGATTTGAGTATTCTCGCTTATTAATTATTCTTGAAATTTATGTTGAGGACATGAGGCTATATGAAAGTGTGCTGCTTATCCCTAGAGTACACCCACTATTTTATTATACATAATTTTTTCTGATAAATACCGACCACAAAGTAACCAAATTATTGCTCATCTCACACTGTCAGACAAGAAGCTATTTTAAAATTTACAGCTAAAGCATCAGTTTTATACAGATATGTAATCAAAATATTGAATTGATGAACCTTGTCTTCCACTGTGAGCTGAAGCAGATGTTATCTTAAAATTCAAACTCAATTTACAAATGGAAAAAGATCATCGGTTAATATTTATAAAAGATTAAACGCAGACTGTCCTCTCATATCGACCAAATTGCAGTATCTGTCAGAAGATCTACAAATTCTAAGTGTAACATTTGCTAACCCCAGTAATAAAGACCCAACAGAAAAAAATATTAATATAAAAAATTAATGTAAAAGCAATGATATGTGTTAGTTTCTGAATAGCAGAGATGTGAAGCAACCAACAGAAGGCTCCTGGGTTCAAGATTTACTGTGCAAATGCTAAAATGTGACAATATGAGAGGAATAGTCCACGTAACACAGCGACAGGTCTCCCACACTGGCTAAGATAACCTGAGGTCTAAGATGTGTGCCATCATGCTGCTATCGCATCCCTATTCTCTGTAAGTACATAAGGCCCTCCGAGAATAAATATAATCTCCAGACAAAAATGTACATTCTAGATGAAGAAAATAATGAATACACCTTCACATATGCCTCTCGCCTACATTTGCATTTTGTCAGGTGACTGGGCTATGCAATGACACTCCACAGGGTCCATGTTTCCCCTCACATCATTATAATACATCATAGGAGAGCCATCCCTGCGTCTGGTTGTCGGCTCAGCTTCTCGTGAAGTGACACGTTTGTCTATCACACATGACACTTCATTCAGTATCTTTGTCATTCACATTCTGGCGCCTTAAAAAGATTAATATTAGCAAAATTATTGTATTTTGTTTTTACATAGCTTGTGACTAAACACTTCATTTCTGGACTACAATAGACTACTAAATACATACATCTTGCTATATTGATTATTCTACAAAGTAATATGATACCAAATAATATAGGCAGGTTGAGATATGTAAACATTTCTATCATTCCGTGCAAATATTGCCAGGCCTCAATTTTTTTTTTTTGGCAATGTGCAAGCTGCCACCACATCCTTCAAAAATATAAGCAGACAAAAGTGGATAGAGAGTCTCCCAAGTGGCACCTCCAGGATCCAACTCCAACTCTCAGTAATTGTTGTCATACTTGTCTCAGTCATCAGCAACACTGGGAGAGACGTCCCCCCCCTGGCAACCTTCACTATCACAAAGACACCAAGGTCTTTCACAGTATCTGCACCACCAACTGCTTCTATTATCATCATTAACACTACTTATATTTTACAAGATACAAGCTGTCTCATCATCTAAATAAAAGTCACCTGAATCATCACTTTTTGAAACTGAATGAAAATAAATAAATCAATAATATATATATATATATATATATATATATATATATATATATATATATATATATATATATATATATATATATATTTATATATATATATATATATATATATATATATATATATATATATATATATATATATATATATATATATATATATATATACTGTATATATATATTTTTTCTTTAAAGATCAGGCAATGTGTGGACTTTTGCAAGTAATATATTCTATTTTGTAAAACATCTGAACAAACACAGTAACAAAACAAATGTCGTAATAACTAGTGGCGTGTATGGCTATTCCCACGACAGGAATGTTTCGCAAGAAGTACTCCCAAACAAACGAATATTTGCAAGCGGATAATCCTCCCACAATCTCCGAGACACTTACAATGGACCCTGTGTACAGAACTGATGAATGAATGACTGACTGACATTCCAAGCTCATCTTTCTGAAGGTTAGTCATCTGGGTGACTTAGCAAAACTGGGAGTGTGCTTGGCAGTAGAGTGAGACCAGCCAGTCACAGAGAAGAGAATGCTTAGGATGTTCAGCTTGTATTGTACAGTCTCATTTAGTCTGTTAAGGGCAATTAGAAGCTTTTTTTCAAAATACTCTAGATTAAAAAAAAATAACTTAAAAATAATATTACAATTTTGAGTTAGTCTCTAAAAGAAGGATGTGATTATTCTGTCCTTTATAAACGAGCCCACTGTGTCTCAGTAGGTCTTCAGTCAAGACAACTAAAAAATAATACAAAAAAAAAAAATCTTATATCTTGAGGGTGGAATCATCCCACTCAAGTTCTTTGGGTTTTCCTTCATCTTCATCCGAAGAATCCAAGTCATCATTGAAGTTACTGCCATCATCAGACGAGTCATCATCGTCGTCATCGTCGTCCCTCAGGCGCTGTGTCTCTGCCAGTTCTAGTTGTTGCTGAAATGAAGCCCAATTCACTGTATTGTAGTTGTGATATCAAGTGCTTAACAATGTGTTTACATATGAGCTGCTCATATCAATGGAGACTCATGCTGATGGGGGAACAAATTAGCAGGAGATTAAATGCTGTTCTATATTGATTAGTTTAAATTGATAAAAATATTTTGGATTAACACTTTTCGACATGACTACCAATACTACTACTACTGTACTAAATTTTGTAGTTTTTTTTATGAAGCACTGATCATCAAAATGTTAAAAGATTATTTCAGAATTTTACAGATAGAAAGGTGACAATATACCTTGAATAAGGAACTATGAATGAATAGATCTGCTCGAAGAAAGTGTAAATTAGTTATTTGTTTCACATACGGGTTTAGAATATGTAAACATACTATTTTATGTTGCTCAATACAATTATTTTTCCATAGCCAACTCACTGCACCACAAAAAGAAACAAATATAGAAATAAAACAAACCATACCAGTTTGGTACAGTACTTTAATGAGTTGCCAAACTGGGTACACACACACACAGCTGGTTGATAATAAACTACTAGCCTTTATTTACAACTAGGTAAAAAATAAAAATAAATTAAATTGTTTTTATCTAGCATCCCTAAAATAAAGTCATTAGCAGAACAGCAAGATACTGTACAGATATTTGTAAATATGAAACCTGAGTAAATATCATACAAATACCTCCATAGGGTTAACGGTGATGTTCAAGGATGAATCATCCCAGGCCATCTCTGCGTCAGCCACGTCCTCGTGAGCGTGACGCGTGTGGGCGGCACGGACACGAATCACACCCAGCACCACCATGAATACCAAGAAGCCAACACACACAACAATAATGATGGTCACTGCATGTCCTGTTGAAATAACCAGCTCTAAAGTTTGTATAACAGCAATTATGTAACGGGGCAAAAAGCAGCTTTGTAAACTATCCTAAGCCAAGAGCAATTCACTAATAAAGTCTGCTCTCATTTTATTTTTATTTATCTCACAAAATGGAAAGTAATTATCAGATAAAAGTGGCAAGTCAGTATGACTATATACAGTAGAACTTGGAAGAGATATCAGGACAGGATAAGAGCCAGGATAGAAGGCGGGATAGGTGCCAGGATAGGAGGTAGGATTGGTGGCGGGATAGGAGCTGGGATAGGAGGACAGAGCGAAAGAATGATTCCCAGCCACTTGAACCATTGGGAATTAAATGCCTTCCTGCAAGAATCAAGGTGATCGCTGTTCTGACTACCTCAATTGGTTGGGTAAGTAAAAACAGACAGTAAAACTAGATAGTAATTATGGTTTCCCATATTAGGGACTATGGGAAGCATTTTAGGCTTATAGAGGTCCCATTAGGCCAACAGCTACTGATGATCTTCCCTCAGGATACATCCCCAATAGTTGTCTAACTCCGAGGAACCTATTTACAGCTAGTCATCAGGTGAAAGTAAACAGGCCCAACTATCTCTATCCCCACCTGGGGATCGAATCCAGTATTCCCGGCAGACGCTAAGGATGCTGACCACTGTGCTCCAGGACCCTTACCCTATACTGTATATAATAAAGGTTCCACAAGGGAATCTGCTTGGCAGGAGAAATTAAGGCATTAGATATTTAGCAAGAGAAATGATTTGGAAGTTAGAGACACTTTTCACCTTTTCAAAACGTTTTGGTCTGTCATGACATCTCACAACTTGATAAGGGATCCAGAGCTGATGGATTTTTTTTTTTGTTATATACATACAAGAGTTCTTACATTCTTGTAAAAACACTTGCATACATAGAGTTTCGGTCAGGTTCTTAATCTTAATTTTCCCTGGAATATGACCCGCTAAATCCTTTAACAACCAGCTGCCCATTCACTGCTGGGTGAACAGAGGCATACAATTAAGGATATTGCTACTTCAATTCATTTCATACGTGTGAGATGGGTTTTGTTTCAGCCACATTATTGTATTATTTATATATGTATTATATATATATATATATATATATATATATATATATATATATATATATATATATATATATATATATATATATATATATATATATATATATATATATATATATATATATATATATATATATATATATATATATATATATATATATATATATATATATATATATATATATATATATATATATATATATATATATATATATATATATATATATATATATATATATATATCACGTCACTATCATTGGTTACCACCTCACCAATGATAGTCAAGACTATCATATACAAATATACAAATGTACATATATACATACACATACATATGTACATTCATAGTCCTTATGGCCTGGGTTTGATTCCCGGTGGAGGCAGAAACAAGTGGGAAGAGTTTATTTCACCCTGATGCTCCTGTTCACCTAGCAGTAAATAGGTACCTGGGAGTTAGACAGCTGCTACGGGCAGCTTCCTGGGTGTGTGCTGGTGTTCGAGAGAAATATATATGTAATAGATATAATAGAGGAACATAGCTTGGTTAAAAGGTGGGGTCCAAGAGCTAATAGCTCAATCCTGCAGACACAAATAGTAAATACAAATGGTAAATACATACATACATACATACATACATACATACATACATACATACATACATACATACATACATACATACATACATACATACATACATACATACACAGCATTAAACCCACATTATATAATTAACTATACTGAAGTGGTAAATTCTTTCATTGCTCCTTTCCATTATCGCCCACAGGATGGGTATGGGGTGCAAAATAAAGAAATGTAATTAAAAATGTTATCCAAATAGTACTCACTGAGATTTGCTAAAGCTTAAGATATTTTAAGGGGTGAAACTTCCCTGCATCAACCTCAATTAGAATCCAAGACAAATTATGTTTGTCTTGGATTCAATTATTATGGATTCAATTATGTTTTGTGTAAATATGGCAAAATGAGTCGTGTGGATGTGGCTGGTATGTCGTGTACTTATCTAATTTTACTTACCTAATTGTGCTTGCGGGGGTTGAGCTCTGGCTCTTTGGTCCCGCCTCTCAACTGTCAATCAACTAATGTACAGGTTCCTGAGCCTACTGGGCTCTATCATATCTACCCTTGAAGCTGTGTATGGAGTCAGCCTCCACCACATCACTTCCTAATGCATTCCATTTGTCTACTACTGTACTCTGACACTGAAAAAATTCTTTCTAATGTCTCTATGGCTCATTTGGGCACTCAATTTCCACCTGTGTCCCCTAGTGCATGTGCCCCTTGTGGTAAATAGCCTGTCTTTATCTACCCTATCAATTCCTCTGAGAATCTTGTATGGTGTGTGTGTGGCAAATAAGTCATGTATAAATATGCAAAATATGTCAAATGTGAAATTGGCAAATATATCTTGCAAGATTATACCATACTATCAGGAGGACTCTACGAAACCCACCACACCTATTGAGTCCAAAAATATACCCAAATTATTACTTAGGCTTTGTCTCAAAATATTGCTTATCAAAATTTAGACTGAGAAAATTTAGATATTTTTACAGTGCGAAAGTATCTTGCTCAAGAAAGTTAACGTATTCACAGAAATAAGTACCTAACTGAAAGCAGATGGAACACAATAATCCTCAATGTGGACGTATAATGGACAGCAAATGACACGTACTGCAAACACGATGAATTGTGTATTGAAATTATGAGTGTACTATTCATGCCATAGAACAGCAACAACTGAACATAACAAAAGTGCTGGTGAAGAATAATTTGAGAGAATTAGTGTGTTTAAAGCGGTCAGATAATACATTTGATCTATGTTAAATCCTATATGATAATATACTCTTTAACACTTGTAATACACAGCACACTGAAAAATGTAGTAGGAGGGAGGAAGGATTCGGAGAATTGAGAAGGGGAGAGAGCAAGGGAAGGGGAGAGAGCAATGGAAGGGCAGAGGGCAAGGGATAGGGACAGGGCAAGGGAAGGGGGTAGGGCAAGGGAAGGGGACAGGGCAAGGGAAGGGAAGAGGGGAAGGGAAGGGGGGCAAGGAAAGGGAGAGGGAAAGGGCTGGGGAGTGTCATGGAGGGCTAGAGGAGGGGCTGGGGAGTCAGGGAAGGGACAAGGGGAAGGGCAGGAGAGTAGTAGGGTGGAAGAAGGCTTAACAGGTGCCCAATTATCCTCATATGTACTATGGCCCATGTCAAGAATTGTGCAAAAAATCAGGAATTTGGAATAATTTATGGTTTAACCCACACTACATAATGAGAGATAATTGTATACACGTACTGTAAAACATTTCAAAATAGTTATAGACACGTAACACCAGCTGTAACAGTAACCAAAGCAGTCTTACCTCAACTTAAGATATTTTTGGAGAAAGAAAAGTGATACTATTTGGTACTTTTTGTATTACTATTATTATAGTGACCTATCAGTGCATATAACTATACTGTACTTGTGTACTAGAGAGTGAACAGATCCAGGATCAATGTGAGAAACATCCAGCTCACTTTAGTGTGTAGCTCTGGACATGGGTGCGAAGTTTACAAGCAGAGGGCAGAATCCAGGCTGCTTCACTGCATTACGTTTTGTGCATATGGAGGCTTATAGAAGTGAGAAATGTAGAAATAATGCTAAATTAATTGTACTTGCACAAAAACAACATGCTGGAATAATTTTTTCTATCTTTGGCGGTACTGAGATTAAGTAGTAAAGCACTGCATTTTCACAGGCTTAAGACTTAGAAATTGTTTAAAATATTAGTTTTAATAAATTCTCATACAGTATCCAAGACACATTAATAAAGCTGCCTCTCATTTTATACACTGCAGCACCCTGCATTCAAGCTCTAATTAAGTGCTGTAAATTATTCCACTATTGAGCCAAAGGTGCACGGTTTGTGTTCAGCTCACCCGCAGCCAGCACGGCAACCTGAGTCCTGCTACCCCCATACAGGTCTGTCGGCCACAAGCATAATACACCGTCAGTGTCCAGAATCACATATACAGTACCTTAAAATTCTCTACTTCGCCCTCGGCCACATCTTTTCCCACTTAATTTTTATAATTCATTCATTAAGGTTCACATGTGATGTTTTTAAATCAAAACATGAGGAAAGCAGCAGCACTGTATGGAATCTCTTCCTATTAATCCTATAATCTACTCATTATGCTCAATTAGTATTAAGCTTGTCATTTAAGTTTATCATGCCCGAAACGCTTTGCGTAATAGTGGCCTTAGGCATTGTATGTACTAGCTCTACCTATAAGTCAACCAATCTTTGTCAAAATTTATTGTATGTATGTACCTTACCTAAATAAACATTTTATTTTATTTTTTTTTATTTTTTATAATTTTTGACATGCTGCACTTATTGTATGGTACAGTTACATATAATATAATATTTTACAACACTGTCCAATTAACAAGGCCTGGAACTTAGATTTGAGACCCAATATCACACAGGGAAGCAAAGTGCGTACCACTTTTGTTAGTGATTGCTACTATATGCACATCTTAAAACTGTCTACTGGCGGTCTGCTCTATTTACCTCAAGATTCACAAAGTAGAAAGTATTCTTTTAATGTACATTATTCTTTCCTTTTGTTGTCTCTTCCTTTTTACCTTTCATGAAGTTTCTGTTGCAGGCATTTCGTGTTTCCTACTTGGCAAATTCTACGTAACTGTTGAGACACTCGCAATTTATGTCACATTCTTGTCTCTTAGTGCAAGCAAGTTGTAATAGTTGTTGTTGTTTTAGATTCAGCTACTCAGAACAAAATGTTCCAATTCTTTGGAACATTTTGAATTCCAGAAATTTAACTTAATTCTTTGATGATAAGAATGGCTGGCAGGTGTGGTAACATATTCATCTAAACTACAAGATTAAATTTGAAGTGCTGCTGTATAGAGATATTCAGAGCACTATGCTTAAATATTCAAGCTAACAAGTGTTGCAATGCAATGTAGCCAATAATGTAAGTATGTGGTACCAATTTTGATTATGACGAATACATTGTGCTTCCAGGGAGACACTATGCACCACTCACTCGACCACGTACTCTACACGATGATGTATTTTCCAATATATATAGTAAACAAGATAGGTGTGTGTAAACTGTGTGTTGGGTGTAGTAAACTTCAACTTACTACATTACCATATAAAAACAAATAACTACTAGCAAGCGATGAGTCACAATAACGTGGCTAAAGTATGTTGACCAGGCCACACACTAGAAGGTGAAGGGACGACGACATTTCGGTCCGTCCTGGACCATTCTCAAGTCGATTGTGAGAATGAATCGACTTGAGAATGGTCCAGGACGGACCGAAATGTCGTCGTCCCTTCACCTTCTAGTGTGTGGTCTGGTCAACTACTAGCAATGTAATACATATATGGTTTCACAATTAAAAAACATCTGAAATTGGTTTCATATCAATTAAGGTATTTATTACAGATCTTACCAGCACTGTTGACTGCCACTCCTTCCATAACATTTGAGGTAAAGTAGACGTCATTGACAGTATGGGCGGGTTTAAGTTCGACATGGTGAGCAGCGATCTTTGCATGAGCTGGTACAGGTGGTGGGTTATGATGGGTAAGGGGTCCACCATTTTCTACTCCCTGATTATGAGTGTGTAAGCCAGGGTGAGGATTCTCAGGAATGGTGTTGGACAGAGGGCCGATACTACCAACTAGACCCGAATTCCTATCCACGCTTAACTGTGGGTGGATCACTGTCACCTGTAAAATATAATCTTAATATTAATATTGTTTTCTCTAAGCCTAAGACAAGCTTGCTGAATCTTTTTAAAAATCCCTCCTGGGCCATACTGGAGAACATAAGAATAAAGGGACCTGCAGAAGATCTATTGGTTCATTTCAGCTTATGTGATTACTGACAGTTCACTTAACACTTAAAGCCATTCCAAACTCTACATCACGGGGACTGCCAAGTACTGCTCACATTAGAGCAACCATCAGTCCCCTAGCCTCAGGTCTACCACATTTTTCCTGAGGGTTGGGCAGTTTCAGGGCCAAGGTGCAGCAGGTTATAAGTGACCTAAGGGCTCCCTTTCAGCCATTGAACCTGGTGTGCCAGCTGAAATACACAGATCCCTATCCTTAAGGAAGGGATCTTCTGGACATTCGTTTTGGACACCTGCTTGAGCTTGTGCCTCGGGAAGCTGGTTCTCCACACTTGGACATTTATGGTCTTTGATGCTACCATAATTGCAAATGGTGAGGCCCCACTCAGTTCGAAGGGATGATGACTCTTTTGTGGTAAGCATGACTGGACTTCATCTTTTCACCCTATCAAGGTTTTTACTTGGTACTAGGATGCCATCCTTCCTCACATTCACAAGAAGTTGGAGAAAAGGAGGAGATTGGCATAACTCAATATCTTCACATTTATTGCAGACCCCTTCAAAAAGAGAATAATCCTCTATTTGTCACTCTGATAGGTCCCCAGGAGCTGGGGACCTGTGGTGTTAGACAGGGTGCTGCTGTCAGAGGGCAGTCAGGAAAAGTGTTCAGGTAGGAACTAGCGGTTTGATCTGAGCACTATTTGGTATTCTCTGTTATGTCAGTTAGGGCTTAAGAAGGCTTGAGTGTTTGACTAAATTTGTTGTCACTTCAGGCTAGATTAAGGTTACTTAAATTTAAACCAGACATGACATTTGAGATCCTTGCTGCACCGAAACAGATTGTCACCCTCCTTCTGACTGTCAATAACCTGTCCAAGAGAACATTCAGTGGGCTAACCTTGAGCAGCAATAGAGTTACTCTGATAAAGCAGCTTTTAATGTTCACAAGAAGCCAGATTTTAAAGTATTGATACCTTTTACAAACTTACTTCTTACAACAAAATCTAAAGATATATAAACTGAATGAGAAGCCTTTAAATTTTTTAACTTACACACGCACACACAATATGCCAAAACTAGAAGACAGAAGAAAAAGAGGTGATAGGATCACTACGTACAAAATAGTAACAGGAATTGATAAAATTGATAGGGAAGATTTCCTGAGACCTGGAACTTCAAGAACAAGAGGTCATAGATTTAAACTAGCTAAACACAGATGCCGAAGAAATATAAGAAAATTCACTTTCGCAAACAGAGTGGTACACGGTTGGAACAAGTTAGGTAAGAAGGTGGTGGAGGCCAAGACCGTCAGTAGTTTCAAAGCGTTATATGACAAAGAGTGCTGGGAAGACGGGACACCACGAGCGTAGCTCTCATCCTGTAACTACACTTAGGTAATTACACACACACACACACACATATGTCTTGTCATTCACCTAAATCTCATTTCAAGAACTGCCAAATGTTTAGACCTTCTGGCTTACTGTACAATTAGCTATGCTATGTAACTATTTGATGAAAGTTGGTATATTAGAAGACATCCTAACAACATCCTAAATTTGCTTGTGCATATTAAATTTACATTTTTATTTATTTTAGCTGCGTCTATTATGAAGCCGTCCCCATCCCGTGCAGCAGTGAACAGCAGAGGGGTTGTACTTACAAATTCATAAATTAAAACATGTATTCTATCTGATGTAGGAGATTGAAACCTCATGAAGTATATATATGTTTAAATCTACAATTTAGACCTCTTGTCATATGTATGATTCTCTGTCCTGTGTGGCAGTCAATAGGAGCAGCATCCTCACCACAAAAAATATAAATGAATTACTCCTGTTAGGCAAAATTATATATTAAATTTGTCAGTTGAAATATTAATACCGAACAGTAAGAACAAGTTCGAAGATTTTCAGTTAATTCATTATCGTCTTTTTGAGACTCAATAAAGATTATTGTAATCTGTACCTTTTAATTAGTTGGCAGAAGTAAGATGTCACAAAATCATGCACTCTCCAAATTAGCATTACAGTTCTTCGGCAAAATTAATAATTGCATCAATTAATTTAACACAAAAAATTTTGAAATGCTATAAAATCTATTCTGTGTAAGATAATACCTATGTAACACAAGCACATCAACATCCTGAAAGGTAGACAGCTTTATCTATATGATGCATAAATGAACAAACTTTTTCAGCAATGTTAAAAAAAAATTAGGTTTAAGACAAGACTGTCCTGATATATACTGTAGAATAACTCTAATGTGTTGAAGACATTTTACTGTAATCCCATTTTTTGTATACAAAAAGCAATTTTAATAGGAGAGCTTGACAATAATACATTTTTATTAATACAATTTTGAATTGTGTAACGTAAAATTTTAGGATGAAACGCACCGTCTGGACATATTCATTGCTGGTAAATCTGCCTCCCAGCTCAGAGCAGGATAGTTTGAAAGCACGGTTGAGGTAATATGCAGGCTTGCGATTGGCGTAGTGAATCTGACGAAGGATAGACTGGTAGTGATGTGTTGTGTGAGTTCCTGAAATTGTTGCTCCCTGCCTGGTGATGGATGACACTAATCCCAGCTCTGAAATGAGGTTGTCTGGGAGGACTAAAGTTTCATGATCAGGGTTGAGAGGTGGGTAGACGGACACTACACACTCGTCCAGTTGTCCCCCCGGGGTGGGAGCAGTGGCTTCTTCGGCAGCTGCTGACAAGTATACTCCAACATCGGGGAAAACACGAAGTCCCTGGCGGAATGATTCGTATTCCTCGGCAAAGTTTGTAGTGCCATTGAGCTCAATACTTGGCTGGTGCGGCTGCATCACTACCACAAAGCTCTGAGCAGTTGCAACCTTCAGTGCCTTACCAGAATCACACCTGTTCAGGAAAAGATATATCAATAAATAATTACATTTTTTTAACATTAAACACCTTGTTTGGTTAGCAATAATTCAAATATTTAGTAATACTTGATATTAGGACAAGCTAAATAAATATATAAAGTATATATATATACTGTATATTTAAACTGTACACATATGTACATGTAATTTATATATATATATATACAGTATAATACATATATAGTTATATATACATACATATACATTTGTACCTCATATCCAGGAAGACACTACAATACCTGGTGAGCGAGGCCCATTTGGCATAACAACTAGAGCAATTTTGTATACAGTATGTAATAGAGATAATGAACGGCATTGCTTAATATACAAAGATTTAACTATTTTTAACAAACCTCATTTATTTATTATCATGAGTAAAATATTTAAAATATGAAAATGCCTACACATGACTGATCTATATAGCTGTAAAAAGAAAACAAACACTCATTGCATACTTTTTTGTCAGGAAATTTGTAAAGAGACAAAAACTTTCAATGAAATACAATAGTATGGAATAGAATAAACAGAGATGTCTGGAATACTTTGAATAATTTGGGGTGAGTAGACAGATGTCTATTCATTCTATGCATCCTCATTAGGTATCCATCCTCATTTGTATCTATCAAACACCATGCTTGCCTACCAGTGCCTAAGGGGTAGCAAGATCTAGCTCTCTATGCCCCGTCTCCAAGCCATTTAAACCTGGCATGCTAATCAACACTAAACATTTTCATTATATTATATATAATTTGTGGAAAGAATTGGTTTCAACAACCTCTTCCATCAATGCATTAAACTTGCTGATCACTGGTACAAAGAATGTGAACTCCTTACATTTCTCTGACTCAATATTGGTGTGTCCAGCTTCCACCCCTTTGACCTTTCCCTTCCCCTTCCCTTTGACCTACCTCTTTTTAATTTAAATTGTATGTGATATTGTTTGCTTAATAATTATCAGAATGTATAAATAAAGGATATTATGATAATTACTTCCCTTATTACCCAAAAGTAAGATGTTACCTTAACAGAGTCTGTGAAATACCACTGTCACATAACACCCAGGAAACCAAATAAAATAATTATGTAATAACTTAGTGGTCAAAGAAAATCCACTGTGTACCTAACCAATATTAGAAATATTGTAGTGTACATGAGTTACGAATCATTCTCCAAGGGATACTACTAAAAGTCACCATAAGTAAAGTACAGTAAATAATTCAATGAATGCTGCCAACTTACAGCGACCGGGCATCATCCCGAGCCGAGGGTCGCTCGCTCACTCTCTCTCTCCTCCATCTATAAAAGAAGTGCCTGTTCAGTCAGAGCTATAATTTTCACAGCACTATCTATGTTCGAATACTACAAAGATCTACAGACTTGCACAACAGAAATACACTAAGGTATGGTGCCAAGATCCATTCAAGAAAGTAATCGGCACAGGGAATTTAGACAAAGAAGCAACTCCAGTACAGTAATGACGGGTAGAAGACACACAGACCATAAGATGCCATAAACAATATTGTAGGCTTCTACGTTAGGCTCTCCCAGGCCTAACAAGCTTCAGTAACAGCAAGCTAGTTGGACTGACTAATACTAAGCCTGATGGTTACATAATTTGTTATGTAAGACGGTAACAATGCAGGGCACCATTCCATATGATGTTCACATAAATTTGTCTTTATTTTTTAATTCTCATCTGGGCTGTAATTGATATCGCTATCAGTTAAGTATTCAGTAACTGCTATTCATCTGTATTATGACCAAAGATTAAAGGCAACATTATTAGAGCTAAGTGTAAAGCATTTATGTACTGCAGAATTAGATTCCCGACAGTTATTGCATTCACATAAAACTTGAAGATGACAACCAAAACAAGGATCCCAAGTCATCTTCCCTACATTCTTCCTGAACCTCAGTTTAAAAGAAAAAAATGAAAGATGAGAAGAGGAAGGGTGGGAACATGAGCAACTAAGTGTTGCTACAAACAATGGACTGGCTACAGGAAAGCTAGAAAAATTATGTGGTCCAAAACTGCATTTTGTATGACTGTCAAAAGTAACTGGACCAGGGGGCAAACAAATCATCTTTCACTGGATTTAGTAAGCTTGCAGTGTGAAGTCACAGAAGCATAAAAAATGAGGAATGGGGGCAACATAGACAGTGACACACACAGAGATCACACTAACGTGATACATCAAATGAACAAATCCACAAGGGCCGTGACGAGGATGCTCCCGGACGCAGGTTTGAATCCTCGCCACGACCCTTGTGGATTTGTTCATAGACAGTGAGCTTGTGGTTCAATGCAAATGCCAACAAATCCACACCCAGAGCAGCAAGTAAGTCACACACCCACTGAAAGGAGGCCTCATCTAACTTTCACTCTCTCCCAAATGAACTAAAATAGGGGAAAGCCAGCAGCCAGCACATTCAACACTCTGTGAATGTTGACTGCTGCAAGGAATAAATCCAAAAAAGCAAAACTATGGCTAGCAATTAAAGCCGATAGAGAAAACCTGAAGAATCCTTCCACCACCCACAAAAGAGAAAACAAGTTAAGAACAGTGTGGAAATGCAAGACTGGGCTAGATGGGAGAGAGAAGCAGTGGAAGGCAACCAAAAGGTGTACATTAAAGACTGCTGAAATGTGACTGCAACAACATTCAAGACCAGCACTCCAAAATGGCAATGTGAAAAGTTATGGCAAGGAGCTAAAAGTGTCCCATAGACTGAAATCCCAATAGACGCCAGAATAGCCAAGGTCAAAGGGATACTACATACTGTACATGCAAATAGGAGCTAAACCAGGATGCATTCAATCACCTAACAAGAGAAGAGGAAGGAGCTGACATTAGTTGGAACACCTGAATCAATAGCTAGAATGATGCTCATAACTCATTCAATATCCACTGTACTAGAAATCTTTAATTAGGAGATTCTCTAAATGTTGTACTATATGATCTTGAATAATTATTTCCATGTGTGTAACAATGAGCAAATTTCACCCCAATTGATTGATAGTTACAAGGTAAAGCCTCTTTCCTTGTGCATGTTTCTACTTCTGCAAAACTGTTCCTGCATCGAGTAACTTTTTCAGTCAAAGATTTCACAACCTTACTTTTAACATCCATTAATATTTTTGGGTAGAATTTGCCGGTGCCGACAGTTTTATGTCTGATACATTGAGTTATGAAGTATTGTACATCCTACTTGCATATGTTAATAATCTAAAGGAAGTTATGTTCATTATCTCAGTCTTCAACTTTATCTTGCCCTTGTGAGACATCATTTGGATTACACAGTACAGTTTTGGGCATTGTAGTGTACTACAGAATGCACAAAACTTCGTGAGAGCACAGAGAACAATGACTATGATTCCTGGTGCCTGGCCACCAGGAATGGAGAGAGTGAGAACTTAAACTAGTTTCACATGCCCTGGAGAGTCATGATGTAAGATGGTATAGGCTCGTAGTGAATAAATGTAGGAAAGGCTTTTACAGAATGGATATAAATAGGTTTATAAAATGATAGCTCAAGTTCAAACACTAAACAATAGATTAAAACTGGGGAGATTTTCATAAGATTAAGAAACAATGGTTCAGAAATAGGGAGCCTGTAGAATCGTTGAACATGTTGCCAATAACATCAAGAAGCAAACTCACTACAAAGTTACAATTATAGGTTGTCTGTGCACATGAGTGAGGGCGGTTTTTATGTTCTATGACATTTATTTATATAGCCACATCGGTATGAGTGATACATACAAAATGTTGGTGGTGAGTGAGATTGGTCGGCGTCCTGGTGTGGGGAAGTCTCTGCCATTAACGTAAGCCACACGCCGGACAAGGGTCTCCAAGTTGGTAACATTATTGCCTTCAATCGTGATCTGTGTCATTTCTGTAAACAAAAATGCTGCATCACCAATTGCTACAATATGTGCAAAATTGTACACGTTAAGAGTTAAAAATTGCATGCAAAAAATGATTTACACAATACTTTACCATTGTTGGTGAGAAGTTCCATACTGGGTTGCAGCAATTCCATGGCTGGAGTATCAAGGGCTTCTTGACAGCGCGTGAGGCAAGACAGAACGCGTGGTGATTCCAGAGCACCCACTAGTACTGACAATCCAGCTAGGTAACCCGTCAACCCGTGCTTCATGTTACTCTCAGATCCTGGAAAGGAAATATGCATTAATTTAAATCTTTACCAAAGCACAAATTAATATTTTTCAATACATTACAATGCAATTGATCTATTTTATCATCACTTCCTATCACTTGGTAAACTAATTCAAATGCATATAAATGCAGAAATAACCCCAATACCAGAAATTTATCCTTGAAGATGGCCTACTTCATATCAATCAGTACCCCATCTTATTCATAAGAATACATGTTAAGACTTGTCATGTGTGAAACAAGCACCTGTCCAAATTACAGTCATCAAAGGAGAATCTTTCTTGCCAATCATGGGACAACTAGATACTGTACAAGCAAAGTGTTTAAGTGGCTAACATGTGGTTGACCCTCTATCTTAACCAAAATGTGTGAAAATAGTGCCAGCTCTTGCAGCCTAAGCAGAAGTGTCAAGTCTACCAAAAGGAAAGGCTTATGCCCAAAATGCCCAGTTCTGCAGGCGATGAGTCACAATAACGTGGCTAAAGTAAGTTGACCAGACCACACACTAGAAGATGAAGGAACGACGACGTTTCGGTCCATCCTGGACCATTCTCAAGTCGATTGACTTGAGAATGGTCCAGGACGGACCGAAACATCGTCGTCCCTTCACCTTCTAGTGTGTGGTCTGCCCAGTTCTGATTAGTTCTGGTAAAATAACCAAGAAGTACTGAAGAATCTGAACAAGTCCTCAGTGTCTGGCAAAGACCTCATTCTCCTGACAATTGTTGTCTGAGAAAGTCTATTCTTGTCACCACAAGCAGCAACAGAATCACTTACTACACTTCCCGCATGGCACTATGGGCAAGATTAGAGCAAGTCCAGCTCTTCAAAGACAGCATGACTTCCATCACCACACGGGAGACATAATATCCCAGTATTTATGATGATATTCAATAGTTCAAAACATTACTACAGATGTAAACAAAAACCTTAAATAAGTCTTTCTAACCCCATATAGCCCTAAGGAAAGTATGAGGCAATAATGAACGTGCTGCAGCAAAACGGTACAAGAACTCACACGTTAAAATTAAAAATTGGTGACTTATGTTTGAGACATTAGATAAGTCTTATTTTTTAATAAGTTGAAATATATATGAGAAATTATTAATATGATAGTAAGTATGTGTTTTACACACTATGAATGGTTGCAACAAGGACTTTCCAAGGGGAAGTTTTACAGATGACAACATACTGTAGATGACAACATACTGTAGATGACAACATACTGTAGATGACAACATACTCTAGATGACAACATACTGTAGATGACAACATACCGTAGATGACAACATACTCTAGATGACAACATACTGTAGATGACAACATACTGTAGATGACAACATACTCTAGATGACAACATACTGTAGATGACAACATACTGTAGATGACAACATACAGTAGATGACAACATACTGTAGATGACAACATACTGTAGATGACAACATACAGTAGATGACAACATACTGTAGATGACGACAAGATGACAACATACTGTAGATGACAACATACTCTAGATGACAACATACTGTAGATGACAACATACAGTAGATGACAACATACAGTAGATGACAACATACAGTAGATGACAACATACTGTAGATGACAACATACTGTAGATGACAACATACTGTAGATGACAACATACTGTAGATGACAACATACTGTAGATGACAACATACTGTAGATGACAACATACTGTAGATGACAACATACAGTAGATGACAACATACTGTAGATGACAACATACTGTAGATGACAACATACTGTAGATGACAACATACTGTAGATGACAACATACCGTAGATAACAACATACTGTAGATGACAACATACTGTAGATGACAACATACCATAGATAACAACATACTGTAGATGACAACATACTGTAGATGACAACATACTGTAGATGACAACATACTGTAGATGACAACATACTGTAGATGACAACATACTGTAGATGACGACAAGATGACAACATACTGTAGATGACGACAAGATGACAACATACTGTAGATGACAACATACTGTAGATGACAACATACCGTAGATAACAACATACTGTAGATGACAACATACTGTAGATGACAACATACTGTAGATGACAACATACTGTAGATGACAACATACTGTAGATAACAACATACTGTAGATGACAACATACTCTAGATGACAACATACCGTAGATAACAACATACCGTAGATAACAACATACCGTAGATGACAACATACTCTAGATGACAACATACCGTAGATGACAACATACCATAGATGACAACATACTCTAGATGACAACATACTGTAGATGACAACATACTGTAGATGACAACATACTCTAGATGACAACATACTGTAGATGACAACATACTGTAGATGACAACATACTGTAGATGACAACAAGATGACAACATACTGTAGATGACAACATACTGTAGATGACAACATACCGTAGATGACAACATACTCTAGATGACAACATACTGTAGATGACAACATACATTGGATGACAACATACATTAGATGACAACATACTGTAGATGACAACAAGATGACAACATACTGTAGATGACAACAAGATGACAACATACTGTAGATGACAACATACTGTAGATGACAACATACCGTAGATGACAACATACTGTAGATGACAACATACTGTAGATGACAACATACTGTAGATGACAACATACCGTAGATGACAACATACTGTAGATGACAACATACTGTAGATGACAACATACTGTAGATGACAACATACTGTAGATGACAACAAGATGACAACATACTGTAAATGACAACAAGATGACAACATACTGTAGATGACAACATACTGTAGATGACAACATACTGTAGATGACAACATACTGTAGATGACAACATACTGTAGATGACAACATACTGTAGATGACAACATATAGTAGATGACAACATACTGTAGATGACAACATACTGTAGATGACAACATACAGTAGATGACAACATACAGTAGATGACAACATACTGTAGATGACAACATACTGTAGATGACAACATACTGTAGATGACAACATACTGTAGATGACAACATACTGTAGATGACAACATACTGTAGATGACAACATACTGTAGATGATACAGGAAAATCATTATTTCCTGTAGTGTACTGTGAAAATTGAGTAAGTTATTAAACATGAGTCTTTGGGATTTACCTTATTAATGTACATTATTCCCAAATAGCTAATGTATATTAATTTCAGCATTCAGAATAACTGGTGAGTCCTTGGATAATTCTGCATCTTCAGAATATTTGCACTGGCATCATTGGAATACTAACTAATTTAAATTTATTTAAGATTAATTTCCCTAATAATAGTCCTACTGAAAATATTTCTAGTTTAGGGCCATGAAACAGGTACACTGTTGTCGCTATACAATACTGAGAGAGAAAATATAATTTCAACCATCTATACCCCTGATATTTTTTCTGCACTGGAAACTCGCTTTCTGTGAGGGTGCGAGTTTTACTATGCAAAAATATTTGCATTTTGATAACATTTTTTTGTTAAGAGAGAGAGAGAGAGAGAGAGAAAGAGAAAGAGAGAGAGAGAGAATAGAATACACACCTTGCCAACATGCTCCAACAGTCATGGTGGTGTTGATGCCTCGTGTTGGATGTAGAGGCCAGTCGTCTATCACCTGAAAAGTTATCATTGGTCATACAACATGATACAAGAGGGGGCATCAACCAGTGAATATATATATATATTATCAACACAAGTACACAACATACATAGTAGCGTACTTTTGCGCTGGCATTATCTTGCATTCTCACACGACACAGCAGTGTACTTATTACTGAAGCTACAGATACTGGAGAGATACTGAACATTCTTGTTGACCGAGTATCAAGCCCTCTAGTGAATGAGAAAAAAATTGTCTGTTCATACAATAAAACACTTTAAAATCAGCTTCTTCTTTTTTTAAACAGTAAGCCTTTACTAATCTTCTTATAATAATTTACTCATGACCTCTTTTGTCACTTCTCTGAATTTAAGTCTCTCGTTAACTAAGATCTTTCTCATCCTCTCCTCCAGCTTCTCTGGCATAGAATAAATTACTCACACACGTGAAAGTGATTATGTTATTCTTGTCATAATAATTTTTTTTTTTTTTTTCATAATCAGTAACCTAAAGGTTATGTGTAGAACATTATAATATTCTAAGTACATGTATTGTTACACAATATAACAACAAAAAAATTCCTGGGTAATAAGTAATATTTTCTGATACAGTAGTTTATGCCTCCAGAGTGTAGAAAATGGCTACTCTTCCCTCAAACCTTTCTTTCACTGTTACCTCAAGACAGCTTAGGGAAGATGTCTTGAAGCTCAGGGAAGACGTCTTGAAGGTACCTGAAGGCTGCCAACTTATAAAGCAGGGTGTCGCAGCTCTAGATAAAGAGTCGGCAGTCTTCAGGCACCTTCAAGACGTCTTCCCTGAGCTGTCTTGAGGCAAAGGCCAAAGTAAGGTTTGAGGGAAATAAGAGCTATTTTCTATTATTTGGAGGTATAATCAATCAGAAAATATCACTTATTACCCAGGAAAATTTTGTTTAGTGTTATTGGCAATTTATAATCTAAATATTTCCATGTATCAGTAACTCTTCCTGAATACTGTAAATATCAATGTGAGTAGGAAATTGTTCTGCCATCATTTTACCATACTTTTATAATACATATATAGTACAGTATTAGAGAAACCACACGTACAATCATAGTTTGTACTGCAATGTCCCACAGTCAAATAAAACATTTGACTGATTTTAAACCTTAGCACAATAAATATCATAAAGAGCTGTCAATGTGCTAAGTGTAGCCAAAACTTCCTCACAAAAACAAATTGTCTACATGCAACTTATAATTAGGCTTTACTTCCTATCCCCATTATTCGAGTCATTTTTCATAGGCTTATTACCTTCCAACTGAACTATCTATAGTTTAATATTTTATTAAGCAACTTTTCTTAAGGAAACCACTATCCTTGGGTTACAACATCCTGCTGCTGGATTTACGAAGTTCAAAGTCCTTGATGACAAAAATCTCCATTCAACCACGTCATCACAAACTGAGAAACAAAGATAGGAAACCAAGGTGCTTAACACAATATATTTGTGTCTCCATTTCATTCACGTACCTCAGGCGACTCTCCATTCTCTGGTCGGAAAATATGTCCATCAACATACAGGGTGACTTCAGGGAACTTGACATGAACAGAGTAATGATGCCACTCGTTGTCACACACCTGAGAAAAAAGCCAAACATATAACCTCGGAGGAAGAAGCTAAACATATAACCTCGGAGGAAGAAGCTAAACATATTATACCTTGGCAAGAAGCCAAAAATATTACACTAGAAAATTAATACTTCATTATACAAATACATTTAAATGACTACCAATTTTCCAAAAGGATCAATACTTCAGAATTGGAAATTAGGTCAAGATTCGTTAACATTCACAGCGAAGTCTGAATTTACTTCACCTAGTAATTTTCAGCAAATCATATTTTTTCTCTTTTATACTCTTTGCATACTCTTTGTCGGCATTTTTTTTTGTACTGGCCTTGTGCCAGTACTGTGGAATACATGGTACAATATATTAAGGCATGTTACATCTTGAGCAAGTGGTCCAGTACTACTGACACTAGGCACATCCATATCATATCATATATTTTCCTAATTATTCTTTTCATATTTAATTAAAAAGTATTTGCAAGTGGAAAATAAAACCACTAGCAAGAGTGCTTTGAATATACTGTAACAAAGTTGATTTTAAACCAAATAAAATTAACTTATCAATATGGAACACAATGATATTTTCCTGTTGTGATTATCATATGTACTCAATTCCTCACCATCGTAAAGTTGCACTTATCTTCTCTGGATGAAAGAGTAATATAGGACAAGGAGAAAGATATTACACATCTAAAGCAGCAACTGTTCTTTGACACAAATTTTTATATTGTGCCAGTGCCAGTGCCACCACATTAACAAAACATGATGAAAGCAATATTTAAGCCACGTCACAGATCAAGTATAAAGTACAGTACTGTACTTCTTTTATGGTGTCAAAGACAATGTAAATTAATCATTATTCTCATGCAATGTTTTACATTTTTATCATGCTTCCTCACTCACTTAATTGTCAGGCCTACCAATTTATTTTATCCTTTCCCCATGTTCCTCTCTGCCTCTCATTGTCACTTCAACACACTTTTTTTCCATCACTCATGAATTTTTCATTGTACACAAGTATGCTTCTTACCATACACTCCTCAATCCTAACATCTTTGAACTTTTTTGTTTATTTAATATGCAGAATAGGAATAGAGCTCACCTGAGGAAGCTTCCACCGCCACTCTGCTGGTTGGAAGGTGTTGAGGTTAGCCTCGGTGGACTCGCGACGCAGCAAGAGAATAAGACGACAGTTGCGTACAAACAGGGCTGTGTGGTGGCGGTTCATCTTGTGATCATCAGCATTGCACAGAACATGTTCCTTTGTGTGCTAAAGTAAAATGAAAAAAATACATCTCACAGTATTTTAATGTAACAATAGCGAGTACTGTATCATGATGGCAAAAACTGTACTCTATTACAGTTATCATTTATTTTAAGATGATGAGAATGTTTTTGTTTATATAAGACAAAGCCAAATTATTAATACACTTGGCTACAGTACATTAAGTCCTGAACTGAACTCTAAAAACCTATATTATAGAACATTTTTTAATATATCTAACACTGGTTTGAATAGTTATCAGAGCACTTTTAATTAGTACTGTAGTTAGCATTGCATAATGATAAAAATAAGGTGTTAAGTTCATTATATTATCAATATTAACAGAGACAAAAAATTGTTCGAAATCACAACTGTTCCCCGAGTCTATTAAACAGAAACATCCCAACGGCAAATTATATTCGAATATTGTAACCCTAAATCAAATTACAGACAATGCTATTAATCTTTATTCAACGTTACATCAATGTTGTTTTTCCAGATTTGCCTGGGAAGGGGGGGAGGGGCACATTTACCTTGTCCATATTTGGATGTGACTTGTGTTTTAGCCAAGTGGAGATGGTGAAGATGTTGGTTAGATTGTGATCAAGGACAGACTCGGGTACAATTGCTCCGGAGGAGTCGCCTTCAAACTCATAAATGAGGTCCCCCTCGTGGCCCTCGTCGGAATGCAAGCCAGCAGTCCAGTCTTTGCCAGCTCCAGGGGCTGGGAGAAGCTCAATGCTGTCAGAGCTTGCTCCTGTGTTGTTTATACATGTCATTAATTACAATCACACAAAAATGATGTTCTAACAAGGTTCAACTGTGTGTGTGTGTGAAATTTATATGTATTATATTACAACTTTATAATTCATACTGTTAAGCATACGTACCTAATTATTTGAACCATTAATATTGGACATAAAGCTAAAGTACGGAACATGATAATAAACAGCTGTCATTAATGATACACAGACATTTGCCACTAATACATGGAGAGAACTCATTCAAAACGTGGCATCATTAACACTCAGAAACAATCAATAAGACTAACCACACATCTTCCTCTGTGCCGCCACTGAATACGTGTCTCGGTCGCAGCCTTTACCAATGTGGTTGGTGGTGAGGCCAATGCGAGCCTGGACTCGCTCCACATGGCACGGAACATTGCACAACTCGAGTGATGAGGATGGGAATAGTTCCAGCCGACCAGATCCAGGAGAATATTCCACCTGATCTGGAATTCCTGTAAAACATGACTTAGCGTGAATCAATCACCGTAAGATTAAAATAATATATCCGGCAGATGGTGTATGCACAACTTTATTGGCCTACTAAAACTTCGTGCTCATTTTTAAGCAAAAATTCAAATCATTATTATAAAATTTTGCTGCTGTAACATTTATTGAAGATTATATAAATGAGCAAATATTCTAGTTTGTATGGTATAGTATTAAACAAATTTTAACTAGAACCTCACACAATCAAGTGAGATCGTCACTAATATAATGAAGAACACTGTCATAATGCAAAATTATGAATTTTTTACTAGGAAATAAGGTTTTGTAAATACTGAAATTTATTGATTTATTAACCTGTTATTTGACTCATGAGGAAAGACTAACAAATTATTTTAAATTTCCCAAAGTGTACAAACAAAAGTGTCTCGCTAGCAAAGTATCCATCTCGTCCTGCAAAACTACTGTACTGGTATATCAGTACATTTTCATAAACCAATATGCTGAAAAAAATGCTAGCAACCTTAATCATTGCTACACACAATTAAAAAATAAGTTACCTATGGATTTCATTTAGTATCCATAATTTTTATATCAGGAATAAAACGTTAAATTAATGTGTACTAAGTACAGTATTCAGGTAAATTTTTGCTCTCCCGTTATGATTTAGGTTGCAAACCACCTTAAGCCCATCATCACACAGCAAAAATCTGCTATCAGAATAATAACTAACTCTGCTTTCAGACAACACTCAGCTCCCTTGTTTAAATCCCTAAACTTGCTAAATATTAACTCCCTCCACACATTCTCTTGTGTCAACTACATTTACAAAACCCTGTTCTTAAATGCAAACCATGCTCTGAAACTCTCCCTGGACAGATGTAATAGGACCCATTATCACCACACCAGAAATAAATATCTCTGATATCCCCAGGGTCAAACTTAATCTGTGTAAACACTCTATGCAAATTAAGGGACCTAGTCTATGGAACTCACTCCCTAGTGAATTGAAAAACTGTAAAACTTTTGCCTTATTTAAAAGCAAAACCAAAAAGTACCTAACTTCATCTTCTTAGTTTCCTACACTGAGCTTTAAATTTGCTCTCTACCTAGTGTTACCCAATCTCCTAATTTTTATCTAATATCAAACAACCTTATCATTGTGTTCATTGCTGTCTTCTTTTATGTGCTAGCCATATGCTGTATTGTGACTACCAATTTTTGTCAACTACCATTCAAGCTGTCATTGCAATCAATCTTATATTGTTTCTGCTGTATTGTGCCTACCAATTTGTTGTCAACTACCATTCAAGCTGTCATTGCAATCAATCTTAGCTACCTATGTGCTTTAATATACTGTACCTACAATTTTCTCTCATCTTTTTTTTTCATTTCATGTAATCTGTTATCATTTTTTTGTCTATAAATTTTGCAAGTATTTACCTCCTTAAAATATTCTTAGATTAAGGACCTGCCCGAAACGCTGCGCGTGCTAGTGGCTTTACAAGACTGTAATTACCATATTTGTATCCTCACATTCCTTATGTTCATTCTTGTATATGCATAAATAAATAAATAAATAAATAGGTTTCCTTAAACATGAGTGGAAATTATGGTGGCCCCAGTGATGCCGGAAGTACGAATCACATACCTTTCCAACCCAGATGGCACACACGATTGACCTTTACTGTCACCATGACTGGTTGAGAGCGCTTCATCCCGCAGTCATAGGCAACCACAGAGAGGATGTGGTTGTGGGACTTTTCATAATCAAGAGGTTCTGTGTTTCGGACCACACCTTCGCTGTCAATACTGAATGGCTGCAGTGAAATAAACATTTTATTTAGTTAACAGATTAAAAAAATAAATGCTATAATTTTTCTAAGTTTGGGGAGGTAATTTTAGCCTTCACAAAGGCTCAAATGATGTGTGTATACTCTAGGTTATAAGTTCCATTATTATATTGCTCCTTATAAGAATACAGTACTACTGTATCCTAAACAGGTACTGTACTGCATAATAAATCAAACATTGTGGGTTTTCAAAATCATTTAGAACAAATATAAAACATGAGTACAGCAGTAAACAATGATAAAACTCTTAAACTGCCTTTGGATCTCTATATTCAGATACTGGTCATAGTTGAAAAGTTATCACAGTTTCATTACCAATCCATATCCATGTAACAGACATTCTAAAATCACATAATTTACAAGAAAAAATGAAAACATAACAATAACATCATACGTAGTTCTTGCACAATGAAATCCCAATAATGTGATGCCACTGAAAAAACATTATAGCAATGAGTGGGACTGAACTTGTGTCTTTGGACTCCCCTGAAACACACACTACCCACTGTACCACGGCTCAACCACTTTGACTTAATGGTAGAGGAACAGCCTTGCTTCTTGCAAGTTGGCATTCAATCCCCAACTGTCCAAGTGATTGGGCATCATTCCCTTCCTCTGTCCTATCCTAAATCCTTATCCTCATATCCTTTCTAAGAGCTATATAGTTGTAATGGCTTACTGCTTTCTCTTGATAATTACTCCACCTTACCACTGTACCATGATCAGCTAAAACTAAAAAAGTATCTCGAGCATTCTACTAGACTTGGAGGTTGGAAGGCACCAGATGGTACCCACAATCCCATTTTCACACTAAGGTGTAAGTACTAGTGATGCTCCCTTCCTTACACCTGAGTGAGCGGGTATCTCATAAAAACTAGTTTGCTGGTTCTTAGCTACTGCCTTCCAAGCTCTAGTCAAACTTATGTTTGAGATACCTTTAACCTATTGCGGTATATTTCTGGGGAGTCTCAGGTAGTCCGAGTCTATTTTGACTACATCCTTTGAACTGGTCCACAACTGTGCCCTCATTCATCACTATCAACGACCCATCACCAACTTTCCATCCATCACATAAATTACTTTTCCTGTAAACTCTTCCCAACCTTCCATGATCCCCATAAATATATCTAAACAATTCACAGTGTATTCTTTATTACACCTATTTCTGCAAAATCTCATGGTCTTGTTCTTAAAAAAACAAAAATAATATAAACGCGTCACTAACAAACACATTCAAGCTCAATCTTTCATTAACATACATTAAAACAGAACACTACTGAATTCCCTCTGCTGCTACCCTCTCGACACCTGGAATTTCAAATTTGTTTCACATTCACTACGAGTACTGTACAGTATTTCCATTTTGAATGTGCACCTCGAGTGAATTTCTTTTACATGTCATCTACTATTCCTTTATGCATGCTATAACTATTTAAATACTGTAATTATTTTGGCCCATCATTAAAGCATTTCATATGTTTGTAATTGAAATGTAACTCCTCTTTAATGGTATTTTGGTATTTTCATAATGTTATTTATGAAATACATCTCAGAACTGTACCTTTTAAAACATTCTAATCAAGTAGCTTATCACCGAGTGATACACAAGTGCACAGTCTTTAACAGGAGACATGGCAGTTTGTCTATGCAATATTGTGTACCGTAGCTACATATTAAAACATATAGGCTGCAGTAATGAAGCTTTTATACTGTGGTGAGCTCTTATGACATACAGGTGGTAGTTTCCTGCAAGTGTCCTTTCCGCTCTCCCAAAATAAATTTCCTGTTTGTCAGGGGTAAGTTACCACCCTTGTGCAGAGCAATGGGGAAAAAAAATGTTTGAATGATAAGGAAACAGAAGAGGAAGGAAGGAGTGAGGAGAGAGGAATAAAGGTAAGATTCCCTTTCCCAGCTTGCATACAAATACTATTACAGTATCCTACACTCATTCTGCTAAACCAATTTACCATTTTTTTGTCAGTGCAACAAATTTGTTTTCACTAGCTCTATAATGAATTTTCATTCCTTCAATATAATTTTGCAAATATTGAGCGACTTAAACCACTCCTTCCTTTATCTTGTAGTCTTATTCACCTGAGAATACCCTCCTGAAAAAAGTACTCTCACAACTGGTTAAATGCTACATATTAAGAACACAACAACTTTCTTGGTGAATGGAGCAGCTCACCTGATCCTTAGTGATGAGTTCATATCGGCAAATGTCTCCAAACTTGGGCGAACAGTCCTGGTCATCGGCTTGTATGGTGAGGATCTCATCATAGAGGCGACCCTCGTCCACTCCGACCACGTACGATGGCTCCAGGAACACTGGGGCATATTCGTTCACGTCGTTCACCTTCACGTGCACTGTTATGCTGGCCAAAGTGAACAACACTATTACATTATACAGTACTATAACAACACAATTTTCTTAATGAGAGATCATAATTAACTAGGATATTTTCTATTTTAATAAGTTTAAAGGGTCTCCTGTCCCTAACAGAGAAACCAGACCTATAATGTCATGTAACTGATGAATGAGAAACAAAGAGTAACTGATCATGTATGTGTGGAAAAAAGCAGGTTAGAGTATGCTGTATTTATAATAAGTGATAAGAATATGTGAGGGTTGGTCTGATCATGCATTTACTATTTGTGCAAGTTGGAATGTGAATAAAGTTGGATTAGATGGAATTGTGCAAGAAGGAATGTGATACATGTAGTGCTATATAGCATTGGGCTCAGTGCAAGTCGGGTCAAAACAAAAAGGTCCTGGGGTCAATTCCTGCGGCTGGACAGAGATGTTTGGCCTCATTTCCTTTCACCTGATGCTATTGTTCATCTGGCAATAACTAGGTACCCAAGCATTGGGCAACTATTGTGGGTTGTAGCGTGGAGAAGGCCAGTATTTGGCCTGGGGGTACTTCGAAAAATCTAACACGCTTCCAGTCCCCGACAATGGGAACTGTATTCAGAATGTATTTGATGCAATGGTGAGAAGAGAATGGGATGGGTGTTAAAAGTATTTTATCATTATATATACATAAAGGTGAATATAGCAAAAGGAAAGAATTACAAAGACACAAATCTACTAAGCAGTGTGTAAAGCATATGACAGAATAATGACGGGCAGAGTGCAAATGGTCACGCATTATAGTTAGTGATCAATAAGGTGGGTTCCACAGTGGAAGAGGCCAAGTGAATCACATTTACTTGGTGACAGTAAAGAAAGCATGTTGGAAAGATTATAAGGCAGATATGGTGTTTATGGGAAGGTAAAAAGCATATGCTAAGTCAATAGATATGGTCTATGGAGAGTTAAGTGCTACTGTGTGCACGTAATTAATAGATATTATTGTAGTGCAGTCACAGACATGTAGATAAATATTGGAAACAGCAAACAACTGTATTAATTTTTGTCACTCCATCTCTCTATTTCCTATCCATCCCTAAAGCAAACCAAAATCTGCTTTGGTTTTAGGTACAGTATCACATCATTTAATTTTAGGACCATCAAGCTTGTTCCATCGATGTTCGTGAAAAAAAGAAAAACATATAAAATGAAAAACCAATATAAAAGATCTGGGAGTAAGCATTTTAGAAGATTTTTCTTTTAAAGAATACAATAAGGTAGCTATCACAACTGCAAGAAATGACAGGTTGGATAGTTAGGACATTTCAAACAAGGGATGCTGTACTCTTCAAGACACTAGTGATTTTTAGGGTGGAATATTGTTGCACAATAATAGCCCCATTTAAAGCTAGAGAGATTGCTGACCTGGAGCCAGATTCATGAAGCAACTACGCAAACACTTACGAACCTGTGCATCTTTTCTCAATCTTTGGCGGCTTTATTTACAATTATTAAACAGTTAATGAGTTCCGGAGCACCAGGAGGCTGTTTATAACAATAACAATAACAACACTTGATTGGCAAGTTTTCATACTTGTAAACTGTTTAATAAATGCAACCAAAGCCGTCAAAGATTGAGGAAAGATGTACACGTTCGTAAATACTTGCGTAACGGTTTTGAGAATCTGGTCCTCTGACCTTTACGGCTAGAATCTACCTAATATAACAGTTAAATTATTGGGACCGATTAAAATCATTAAACCTGTATTCTCTATAGTGTAGGTGGGAGAGATACATAATAATTTAAACTTGGAAAATATTAAGAGGGACTGGTTTCAAATCTGCACATCAATAAACTAGAAAAGGTGCAAAGACAATGAACAAAATGGCTTCTGGAACTGAAAGACGAGCTAAGAGAAGTTAGAGGGTGATAAATATCCCAAAGCTAGAAAAAGGAAGAAAAAAGGCAATATGATCACTACCTACAAAATAGCAATGGGAATTGACAAAACTGATAAAGAAGAATTCTTGAAACTTGGGACTTCAAGAACAAGAGATCATGGATTTAGGCTAACAAAACTGTCAAAAGAACATAAGCAAGTTCATTTTTGCGAACAGAGTGGCAGATGGTTGGAATAAGTGAAGTGAGGCGATCAAGTGCAAAAAAAGGTGGTGGAGGCCATAACCGTCAGTAGTTTCAAAGCGTTATATGACAAAGAGTGCTGGGAAGACGGGACACCACGAGCGTAGCTCTCATCCTGTACCTACACTTAGGTAATCACACATACCATACATACATACAGGAAGCCGGTTGGCCGAGCGGACAGCACACCGGACTTGTGATCCTGTGGTCCTGGGTTCAATCCCAGGCGCCGGCGAGAAACAATGGGCAGAGTTTCTTTCACCCTATGCCCCTGTTACCTAGCAGTAAAATAGGTACCTGGGTGTTAGTCAGCTGTCACAGGCTGCTTCCTGGGGGTGGAGGCCTGGTTGAAGACCGGGCCGCGGGGCCACTAAAAAGCCCCGAAATCCTCTCAAGATAACCTTAAGATAACCAAGATAACCCCCACCAACCTACACACACACACACACTAACATCTACCCTACACTACACTACTGGTATATAATTAGGAACCAGCATTCATTTAGCCAAGGAGTAAAACATTCTGCTGAAAATTTCATTAAGTCCTAATTGCTTTCTTTCCCATTCAGAGCACAATACACAAGGCGAGCTACGCTAATATGCTCCCACTGTGTAAAATCTCCCCCGCTATGTGCTCGGGCCTACCCGGCTCTCCACACAATTCGGGAATTCATGGCTGCCTCTTGCGAAAGATAATGTTATGGGCCAGCATCTGGGCATTTAATAATGAGATGTGAAATAAAACAGAGTTAGGCTTGCCTCAACAGATGGTGCTTCAGGTTAGGTTGTCTCTCAACAGATGGTGCTTCAGGTTAGGCCTGTTATAGTCATTGCATTTATTCATGCAAAGGCTAAAAAAGATGTTTGATGTGGCGGCTAATTAAAGGAATTATCACCAAAAGACTCGGTAATTATGTGATTACCGAGTAAGTATTAAATAAAACATGAGAATATCTCCGAGTAGGTGAAGTAATTATGAGGACAAAATGCTAAACCACTAAGACAAATAACACTTGGAAGGAATATGAGGAACAGACTAAGACCTGGGATATGAGGAACAGACTAAGACCTGGGATATGAGGACAGACTAAGGCCTGGGATATGAGGACAGACTAAGGCCTGGGATATGAGGAACAGACTAAGACCTGGGATATGAGGAACAGACTAAGACCTGGGATATGAGGACAGTCTAAGGCCTGGGATATGAGGACAGACTAAGGCCTGGGATATGAGGACAGACTAAGGCCTGGGATATGAGGACACACTAAGACCTGGGATATGAGGAACAGACTAAGACCTGGGATATGAGGACAGTCTAAGACCTGGGACATGAGGACAGACCAAGACCTGGGACGTGAAGACAGACCAAGACCTGGGACATGAGGACAGACCAAGACCTGAAATATGAGGACAGACCAAGACCTGGGACATGAAGACAGACAAGACCTGGGACATGAGAACAGACCAAGACCTGAGACATGAAGACAGACCAAGACCTGGGACACGAGGACAGACCAAGACCTGGGACACGAGGACAGACCAAGACCTGGGACACGAGGACAGACCAAGACCTGGGATATGAGGACAGTCTAAGACCTGGGACATGAGGACAGTCTAAGACCTGAGACATGAAGACAGACCAAGACCTGGGACACGAGGACAGACCAAGACCTGGGACATGAGAACAGACCAAGACCTGAGACATGAAGACAGACCAAGACCTGGGACACGAGGACAGACCAAGACCTGGGACACGAGGACAGACCAAGACCTGGGACACGAGGAACAGACCAAGACCTGGGACATGAGGACAGATCAAGACCCGGGACATTAATACAGACGCCGCCAGAGCAGGACCAAGAGGCAGGTGGCCTTACTTCTGAGACTCGACTCCGCCACAGGAGATGGCAGTGATGTCAAACTTGTAGTTCTTGCGCTTCTCACAGTTGAGGGGCCGCTTGGCTAGCAGTTCGGCCTCGCCAGTGATGTCATCTCTCAACCGGATCTGTGGGGAATGACAGCATCAGTCCTAAACATAGTTCAAGAGTAAAGTAAACTCTTAATTTACACACACACACACACACACCTCTCCTATTGGTCAGCCCCCCCAGTAATTGAGCACGCAATAAATCCTTTTATTTGTCTAGGAACTCTACCATTGCTCTTCATATAGGTGGTGGGTATATATATATATACATATATAACTCGCATGCCAGCACAGGTGGCTGCTTCGCCACCCCTGCCTGCCATTACTAATGCTATTATAGATTAATTTATATTTGCAAAAAAAACTTTTTTCTATCTTTTTAAAATACACGTAGACTTTGTTTGTTTTTCATGGCGTTTAGTAATTTAATTAATGAGAATATGAAGTTGTGTAATCTTCTTATTACAAATAACAACAAAACAATTTATATTTTTGCCCATGTTCCAGGTTCAGAATTTCAACAATGAAAGAAGCTTTTGAAAATGCTACAAATTTTTTCCATAAAAGCTTTGAGAAATAATACACACGGGAAGCTGGTCGCATTTAATACCTTAGTTCCCCCAGTGGCGCAATATTACCATGCAAGAACGTACTGCGCTTTCAAGTAAATTCAATAAATAACTGCTTCGAGTTAATTGAAGTTGCAGCCTACTCCAAAAAAAAAAATAGTTTTCAGACCCACCCAACTTTCCATTACCCACCCTCCCCCTCCCTTTCATTAACCTCTGCCTCCCTTTCCTTAAGCCCACTCCCATTCCTTAATACCCCTCCCTTTCCTTAACACCCCCTACCCTTCCTTAACACCCCTACCCTTCCCTAACCTCCCTCCCCGTCTTTAAGACCTCTCCCCCTTCCTTATCCCCCCCTCCCCTTCCTTAACACCCCTCCCCTTCCTTACCCACCCTCCAACTCATCTCCCCCCCTCACTCAATCACATAACCGTCTACACCCCTCCCCCCTTTCCAAAAATAGGCTATATAACATTAGCAAATATTAAGATTCATTTAGAATTTCTTATCTAGTATGTTAACAGACCACAAATGCAACATTTCTGACACTACAAAGACAAAGGGCCACACTACAAGGCACTGTTCACTCCCAGAGTGAATAGAGTTCACTCCCAGAGTGAACAGGGTTCACTCCCAGTGGAAAGCACAGTCAACCCTTTCCCACAAGCACACGCACATATGTAATAAACACATGATGATGTGCTGATGATACACACACATGTGTGCATCATGATGACTAAAGAAACTTCATTTCACAGTCTCAGAAGAGAGAAAGAATAAAGGAGATACGATCACTACAGAAAGCACTCGAGAGAACAGACAAGGACAAGAACACGATCACTACAGAAAGCACTCGAGAGAACAGACAAGGACAAGAACACGATCACTACAGAAAGCACTCGAGAGAACAGACAAGGACAAGAACACGATCACTACAGAAAGCACTCGAGAGAACAGACAAGGACAAGAACACGATCACTACAGAAAGCACTCGAGAGAACAGACAAGGACAAGAACACGATCACTACACAAAGCACTCGAGAGAACAGACAAGGACAAGAACAGCCTCTTTAAAATGAAAGAATAATTGAACAAGAAGACACAGAGCTTTAAGTTGGGAATACAAACGCGTTTAAGACACAAAGAAATACTCGTACATGCCCAACCTCTTGGCTGGACGGTAGAGCGACGGTCTCGCTTCATGCAGGTCGGCGTTCAATCCCCGACCGTCCACAAGTGGTTGGGCACCATTCCTTCCCCCCTGTCCCATCCCACATCCTTATCCTGACCCCTTCCCTGTGCTATCTATTCGTAATAGCTTGGCGCTATCCCCCTGATAACTGCCTCTCGTACCCTGCACGGGTGGTCAGCAAGTGGAGCGCATGTAGTGAAGAGGTCGTGGAAGCCACCTCCATCCACAACCTGTAGACACCACAGTGGAGTCAAAGGTGAGGACCGCTGGAGAAACAGTTCACCCTTGTAGACTAGACCAGATGGGTCAAAAATAGTCACGACCTTCTCCACTAGTAAAGTACATATACCTCCATGTGTGTGTAGAGAAAAAGAGAGCGAGAAAGGGGGAGAGAGAGGGAGAGAGAGGGAGAGAGAGAGAGAGAGAGAAAGAGACAGAGAGAGAGAGAGAGAGAGAGAGAGACAGAGAGAGGGAGAGACAGAGAGAGAGAGAGAGAGAGAGAGAGAGAGAGAGAGAGAGAGAGAGAGAGAGAGAGAGAGAGAGAGAGAGAGAGAGAGAGAGAGAGAGAGAGAGAGAGAGAGACAGAGAGAGAGAGAGACAGAGAGAGAGAGAGGAACGATGTAATGATCAACATAAATGATTATGCAATGTCGCCCAGTTTCAGTGTGTCCTGGTGTAGGTGGTGTGTCCTGGTCTATGCAAGAGTCACATCAGATTCATTAGCTTGTATCACACATCAACTGGATCCAACAGGACAATGGTGACATCCGTTAGTGGGCCCATAGACATCAACGTCACTTTGTGCATGAAATCTCAAGAATCTAGAAGCTTCGGGAAGAATTATCTTAACTAATACACTATTTGAACATCAAATGACTTCCGGTAATGGTTATCTTCTCTTGAGGTTATCTTGAGATGATTTCGGGGCTTAGCGTTCCCGCGGCCCGGTCCTCGACCAGGCCTCCTTTTTGTTACACTCCCCCCAAGAAGCAGCGCGTGGCAGCTGTCTAATTCCCAGATACCTATTTACTGTCAGGTGAACAGACGCTTCAGGGTGAAAGAAACTCTGCCCATTTGTTTCTGCCTCGCCCAGGGATCGAACCCGAAAGCTCATGACTATGAATCTCGAGCGCAGTCCGCTCAGCTGTCAGACCCTGCTTATGGTTATTTGAATTATGGTTAATTCAAATCTGTTACAAGGAATCAATTCGTATCCGATCAACGCCACAGTGTGTACGCGATCAACGCCACAGTGTGTACGCGATCAACGCCACAGTGTGTACGCGATCAACGCCACAGTGTGTATGCGATCAACGCCACAGTGTGTACGCGATCAACGCCACAGTGTGCATCCGATCAACGCCACAGTGTGTACGCGATCAACGCCACAGTGTGTATCCGATCAACGCCACAGTGTGTACGCGATCAACGCCACAGTGTGTATCCGATCAACACCACAGTGTGTATCCGACCAACGCCACAGTGTGTACGCGATCAACGCCACAGTGTGTATCCGATCAACACCACAGTGTGTATCCGACCAACGCCACAGTGTGTATCCGATCAATGCCACAGCGTGTTTCCGATCAACAACACAGCTTGTATCCGATCAACGCCAGAGTGTGCATCCGATCAATGCCACAGCTTGTATGCGATCAACGCCACAGCATGTTTCCGATCAACAACACAGCTTGTATGCGATCAACGCCACAGCGTGTTTCCGATCAACAACACAGCTTGTATCCGATCAACGCCGCAGCGTGTATCCGATCAACGCCGCAGCGTGTATCCAATCAACACCACAGCGTGTATCCGATTTCTCCAGCAAAGTTGCTATTTTATAATAAAAAATACAGTGCCTTATCTCCTCAAGAGAGATCATAGAGTCTGGCTACTTGTCAGAGGGCACCGGCACTTTGACCTGATAAGTATTAAGTGTCGTAGTGTGTTTAATTCGCCAACTGCATACTTTAATAACCTTAATATGTCCATATAAGTCTGTTTGTGGTTATATCGAAGGACAACGCCCCGATTAACAGTAAGTTTTGGACTTAAAATCTTTTCATGCCTGAATCTCTTTTTCAGTAACATGCTCTCATAGATATAATTAATTTATCACATTAGTATATCTTATTGTATATAATATCTTGATTGCATAATTGCATATATCTTATATCAATGAGAGGCACTGACGACGAGGGAACAGCCCCTAAGAACAAGGCGCCAAGCAGCACATACTCTCAGGCACGCGATATCTTTAAGCTCAATGTTTTTAAAGGACTTTACGAACCAACTTAGTTGAAGTGAAAAATTGGGGGGAAGGGTTGAGCGGAGGAGAAATATGGACCCCAAGAAGGCAAGGAGTTAGCCAATTTAGAGAAGAAAAACAAGTACCCGCCAAGATTCAGGGGTGACTGAAGAAGTCATGGCTAGAAGCCTGTTCTAGACTGACGTAGATCACACACGTATATTTCTACGAACCAGCTTTCAGAGTTAAGAGGACGACCCGACAGTGTTCTGAAGGTGGTTAATGGGACGAGGAGGAGAGTTGGCGAAGTTCCTTGACATAATGCGGACAGAATGGTTAACTGCAGAATGGGAAAGTTTCAACGATCTAAAGGCTGCCACTCCTGACTTGTGGGGAGGTGTTAGGTGGGTGGCTGTCTGACGGCTTGTAAAGTGTCGGCTGCCAGCCTGCTTGTAAAGTGCCGGCTGCCAGCCTGCTTGTAAAGTGTCGGCTGCCAGCCTGCTTCTAAAGTGTCGGCTGCCAGCCTGCTTGTAAAGTGTCGGCTGCCAGCCTGCTTGTAGAGTGTCGGCTGCCAGCCTGCTTGTAAAGTGTCGGCTGCCAGCCTGCTTGTAAAGCCCCGGCTGCCAGCCTGCTTGTAAAGCCCCGGCTGCCAGCCTGCTTGTAAAGTGTCGGCTGCCAGCCTACTTGTAAAGCCCCGGCTGCCAGCCTGCTTGTAAAGCCCCGGCTGCCAGCCTGCTTGTAAAGTGTCGGCTGCCAGCCTACTTGTAAAGCCCCGGCTGCCAGCCTGCTTGTAAAGCCCCGGCTGCCAGCCTGCTTGTAAAGCCCCGGCTGCCAGCCTGCTTGTAAAGCCCCGGCTGCCAGCCTGCTTGTAAAGCCCCGGCAGCTCCCATGACCCCAGCACTGGCCGGTTAGGCTGCGGAAAAAAAAATGTTAAGAAAATTAAAAAAAAAATAAAAATCACCCAAAACTGGAAAAATCTATAAATTCTGGCAAAGTTTGGGCAGCGGCGGAATACTTAAGGAGACCGATACCGTTAATGGGCAAGTTGGCCGGCATGTAAAAGCCTTAC